AATTTTCACTGGCAGCCCCATATTTTTGTATGGCCTTTTTTCAGCATCACTATACTTAAGATGCTCTATCATCCACCATAATACAGCTTTAATGAAAGTGCAGTAAATTGTTTTCTGGCCCTCAAAGATCATAAAATTTAGTGAAAAAAAAAAAAAAACATACTACTAATCACTCTTAATTTTGGGATAAAATTAACAAAATTTAGCAAGATGGCCCAAAAGTTTTGTACACCTGTGTGTGCATGTGTTAGTTCAAATATTATTATTAGGGGATACTCACATTTGAAATAGATGCTCCATTTTTATTTATATTATTTTTAAAGTGTGTACTGTCTATCAGCCTGCACACTTGAGAAATCTAAATAAAGAAAATGCACTATCTGGCAGTGATCAAACATGTATCTCCCTCTATAGGGGAAACCACTGCTTGATCCAGCATGCTTTACTACTCAGCTACAGAAAATGTCACAGTAGAATAAGGCTCTATTCACTCTTTTAAGGAAGCACACCTCTTCATTGAGATACTTTTCTCAAAATACCCATATCTGCTCAGTTTCACATTGTAAACAAAGCAATTTCTAAAGAATTAGTGGATGTATTTTTAATCCAACATTTTCATTACACCAAGTGATATTATAATTGATACTTATATTTGAAATAGACACATCAGAAAGAAATGCCAAATTAAAATAAATCCATTAATTCTTTTATATTATATATATATATATATATATATATATATATATATATATATATATATATATATATATATTTATATATATACATACATACAACTTAAACTTAAGTTTCACTGGTTTTCCAGTAAAACTTAAGTGGCACACCTAAACGTAGGTATTTTTTAATATATATCTTTGCTCTGCCTAACCACATCAAGCACTGTTATGTTTTTTACCTCATGAATAAATTTGATGATTATTTGCTTGCCTGTCTATGTACACCAACACGTGTATATGGTTGCTTATATCTGGTTGTTGGATTTGTGTGTGTGTGTGTGTGTGTTGGGAATCCTTTATCCAAAATCCTTAGGATTGGAAGTGCTTCAGTTTTCAGATTTTTGGGGGATTTTGTAATATAGACTGTAGAAGCTCTCTCATCAGCTGTAGTTAATGTTTTTTCCTGGGGCAACAGCACCATAACAACCCTGTCTCTTCAGCATTACAGACTTGTTCTGCTGTTTGATTTTCATCAGTGATAATCTTAGCAAATGCATCAATGAATTTCTCTGCTGTTTCATAATTGGCAGATGCTTTATCACCACACACCTTTAAATATTTAATGCCATGCCTTTCTTAAATTTCAGTTACCTTCAATATTCAATTCATGATAGATTTTTGCCTGTTTCATGATCAGCATTCTGGTAAGTGGCATATGTTCACTGTGACACTGATAAATCCATTCCATCAATACGCAATTAAGATCATCATTTTTTGCTCTGTGTAGTGTTTTTCTATTTTTCATTAATTTCTGTTCATCACTTTCAGTATAAAACTTTAACAATTTCTCCTTCTATCGTATATGGTGGTTTTATTCAAATGCCAAACTCCTCAGGCAGATACTTCACACTTATACTCCTGTCTAGTCATTCCAACAGTTTGACTGTGATTTTGACAAACAAATACTTTTTTTTTCTTTTCACTACCAATATTGATATCTGCAGGAGTTTTTGACATTTTGAATAATATCTTTACCAAGCACAAAAATCTGGTTTAATCCACAAATGAAGGTGTTGCTGTGACGATTGCTAACAAAAAACTGGAATCAACGTAGGCTATATAACTGGACTGGGGAAACCCTATCCAGGACAGATGAGGTCACGTACAACAGCTGCACATCACCAATGGACCTTCTCAGTGCTTTCTGAAATTTTCCATTTGTGGCAAGTCATGTCAGCAGCTGAAAAACTTTCAGATTTTGGTATTTCGGATAAAGGATAATGAACCTGTATAAGCAATAAATTACCTGCAGTAAGATTTAAACACATACTTTAACCAAATGGTAAGGTAATCATTTAAAGAAAACCTTTTTGTTTTCTTGTCTAAAAATAAAATAGAAGCCTATAATATTAACCCTAAGATTTAACATGATTAGATAATCTAGCTATTAGAAATAAATTTACCTAAATACTACCCAATGTTATTCTAAATTATTATAATTTGTTAAAATACATGATGGGACATGATTAGGGTTCTTATCTGCTAAATATACAGCAAATAAGTTATCAGTTTCAAGATGATCTCATTCCAAATGATGACTGATACACAAAGTTTAACAAAAGAATAAGAAAACTAAGCATTTAGTGGTCTTTCTTTATGTCCAAAGATAAATGTTCAATTGAACATTTCTCATCAAATGACTTGTTAATTTTTTTCTTTTTAAATTAATCCTCTGACCATTTACCCCTTGTATTACCATGGTATGTGGACAGTTTAGAAAAAATTTGAAGTCATGTTTTAAGATATTTAATTAAATAAAGATTACTTAACCCTGTAAATGCTGCAGAAATTTTTCTCGTTTGCAGAGGAACCACAGTATTTCAATGAAGGTAAGGAGTTAATTGCTAAATTTACTTGTTGAATCCAGATCCAGGTTTACAGACATTCAAATCAAGACTTAAAATTGCTTATAAATTCATATAAAATGTTTACAAATAAAGAAAAGATTTCTGAAAAAAAAAACTATTCATCCCAAAATTTTAAAATATAAAGGCAGAAACAACTTTAAAAAACATACTTATAGGAAACTTTTTATTAATAGACTAGGTATAAGTTATATATAAGTGAACATTGAAGTCAATACCCAAAGGTGACAATCTGTTTCAAGCTTGACGATTGCATCTGGCATGAAATAGACTGTCGCCTCTGGGTGTTGACTTCAATGTCCGCTTTTATATTTACATATGCTCTATCCCTGATATTGAGCACTTTAACCCCAAAATATAGTATACCTTAAAACTATATATATATATATATATATATATATATATATATATATATATATATATGTGTGTGTGTATATATATATGTTTCATTGAATAATATAGAGATATTGTGTCTGTTTATTTTTATACTGATCCTTTCCACTTCACTTCACTAAATAGTTTCTTGATGTTAAGATGAAATTCATCAAGGAAGGCACCATAGTTTTTTCTAACCCAAGTACTACAGCACCTTCCTTGATGAATTTCATCTTAACATCAAGAAACTATTTAGAGAACCGGAAAGGATCAGTATAAAAATAGACATATAAATAAATCATCAAATTAAAAGTCAAATTTAAGCACTCATATATTTGTTATTATAATGATCCTCTACATGCACCAAGACCATAGCTCACAAAAAGTGGGCTATTACAAATTCTTCTCTGAGGGGGTTAAAAATGCACCCTTTTTACCCCCAAGGCATGTTTTCCTGAAGTTAATATTTTTATCCAGCAGATGGATAAGTATTAAATTAACTTTTTTTAAAATTATTATTATTTCCTTTGATTTCTGTTGTATACACATTTCCTTCCGGATCCCAATCAGACATCAGAAATGGCTTCATGACATTTTCCACTGATCACTTTATGGAAAAAAAGAAAAAAAAAAAAGAAAAAGTAATAAGATCACATAAATTTACATATATAAATCTCTTTATAATGTGTTTCTTTAAGGCATGGTCTACCAGGAATCCCTTCAATGAGTCTATTGGAACCTTTTCACATCAAGTTGAGGGCTCCAACTACAACTGGAATTATTGATGTCCTCATGTGCCCTATTTTTTAGATTTCCACTTCAAGATCCTTGTGTTTTGATATTTTTTTGAAGATCTTCAAAGATACATTACAATCTGCAGAGACTGCCATGTCAATAAGAAAGCACATTCTGTTTTGTGTTCTTTGATCACAATGTCAGGGCAATTAGCTTTTATTGTTCTGTCTGTATGTATTGTAAAGTCCTGTGAAATTGTTACAGATCCTATCTCTGTAACCGGGTCTGGTTGGTGTTCATACCAGCTTCTTGTAGTTTTGTTCCTATTCCTTGTTGCATATTTTCCACTTTGCAGATATGGGCCTACACTATCATGCTGAGTTTTATATTCAGTGGATGCTAACATTCTGCAACCTGATACAAGATGATTATTATTATTATTATTATTAAGGAGGTGCTGAAAGGTTATTGGCTCAACTCACTTCCCAAATGATCAGATTTTTTTTTTAAAATCACACCATGATAAAGTTGGGCTTAGAACTTTTCAGCACCTACTCATATTCACTTAATACATTTACATGTAAACTGATATACTATGGACATTTCAAAATCTGCTTATTTACTGTATAGTGTCTGTTTTTTGTTTTGTTTTTTAATATGCCATCTCTATTCAGGTAATCATGAATTACCATGCATTCTCAGGAAAGATAGAGCAGTTACCCACTGCCTTGGCCACAGTTTTGAATTCAGAGTTTTTCTGCTTTTAAACTGGTTGCCACACAAGGCTAGTAAGCCCAATGTACCTTGTTATTTAACTCATAGCTGGAGGGAGAAGAGACATATCCATGCCTTTTCCAAAGGCACTGATGTAAAGTTAACTAGGCTAGAATTTAAACTTGATTTGCCAATTTTACTTTCTGTGTCAATATCTATTACAACATGTGCACACAAATTAAACTTTTTAACTTTTTTTTTTATTCATTAATAAGTCAGTTTATATAAATGATATTTTAATAATTATTTACATCATCTGCAAAGAAGTATTCTGAAGACAATGTAAAAATTAACAATATCAAGTATATTTTCAAATTTATTAATGAAATAAGGATTGTTGAAAAATATACTACCATTTTCATTGCATCAACAAGCATACACTTATATTATGTATCCCTTGCCATACACACAACAGCAATGAATTTTAGCATAATCTTGGTCACATGCAGACATTTGTTTATGAGTGAATGTAAACAAAATGCACCCAATTTAAAAAGAAACAACAACTGATACTGACCTTTGTTCGGTGAGGAGGCACTGATCTTGTTGGCTTGTTGTTTGTTAGCATCAACATATTCAAGCAATTCTGTAAAGAGCAGCTTGATCATCTTGCTGCTCCAAAGAAGTTGCAATTGTTTCACCACAAATGGCATCGCTTCATGAAGACTAGTGCAGAAAATAAAGACAATGCAAACAACTATCAGTAGATAAACAAGGCAGAAATAACAATTTGTAAATTAATATACAAAATGCCTAAAAATTTACTCCATACTTCTTTCCTTGGTCCTACCCTGTTTTTAGTTTTCATTAATGTCTTTCCCAATGACATCAGCCCTCAACTTGGTATCTACACTGATGAGACAACCATTTTCTCCTACCTTGATATTAAGGCTGATCAGTCTGACATGGCCAAAATAACAGCCAATGTCCAAAATGACTTCAAGTCCATTGTTAACTGGGGGCAAAAGATGGATTGTTAATTTTAACATTTCTAAAACTAAACTTCTCTCCATTAATCATCTGAGAAGCCCCTTTCTGCCTTCCATCAACATGGCTGATGCTAACCTCCAGGAAAGTGATTTGTTGCACCTTCTTGGGCTAACGTTCTAAGAAACTTGGTTCCCTGTGTTGTGCAAGATTATTTTTCTCTCCAGAATCTATCTTGCATATCTATAAGTCTACCATTCATCCATGCTTAGAATATTGCTGCCACATATGGTCCACTGTCCCTGTTATATACCTTGAGCTCCTTGATAAAATCTAAAGGAGAATCAGCAATATTATTTGTCCTGATCTGGCATCTTGGTTTCAGTTACTTTCCCACTGCTGTACAGTTGCCTCTCTGTGTCTTTTCTATAAATACTTTCATGGTAATTGTTCAGATGAGCTCTTCACTATGATACCTGGACTTTTTGAATTTAAGTGTAGTACTAGACCAGGGTCAAGATCGCAACAGTTGAGCTGGCTAGATGCAGCTGTAAATTCTATGCTAAGAGTTTAACATATAATTATTATCGTTTTAATTCTTATTCTTTTATTGTCCTCTTCCCATAATAGTATTTTTCTCATATTCTCTAGCACTCGGGAAAAAAAAAAAGTTTTTTTTTCCTTACACTTCCAACCTGTGGTACTCCCTTCCAATTCGTTGTTTCCCAGTTAACTACAATCTTCAAAAATTTAAATACAACATCAATCACTATCTTCTGTCTTCCTTGAAACGTGTTCCTTTTTTGTCCTTACCTCAATCCTCCCCATTCTCAGTCTTCTCATTCTCTACCTGGTACCCCCTGCATTCTAGTGGAATTACCACCTTGATTGTGGTGATAAAAAAAAAGAAAAAATAAACTACAGAATGTCCAAAATTTCATTCTCACTTGATGAATTATTACAGAACACACTGGATGAGGTCTAAGGAGTGTAACACAATTTTTACATATTTTATTCATCTTTTAAATATATATTTTCCTAACAAATAATAAAAAAGAGATTAGCATATGCAATTTTTTAAAAATTTAAAGTGTTAAAGGATGCAAATTATCATATTTTTTTTTAAATTGTACATTTACTTCTAAAGAAAAGAGAAAAAAAAAGCATTATTTATTCAGGAAGTAGAGTGACCACATCAAAATTCTTACCTCTGGTCAGTACTCTGTGAAAACCATCCTAACACAGGGTGCCACAAAGTCAGATTAGATTTCTTACTTTGCACATATTTTTTGCAGCTCTTAAGCAAGTGAATCATCACATCCTAAAAATACAGATATTAAAACAGAATTTTAACTCATAAGCAGATCACTGAAAAATATTAATTCTGATAAAAATCAACATACAAAATACATCTGGAATACAACAGGCCATTTTGAATATCTTGAGACCAAGTTCATTAATTTGTATTGATGTAAGTTGGTTACCAAACAGAGGAGAGCTTACTGTTCATGCAGGAACAGACAGTCCTGGTGAATTACTCATTTCATAGTAAGATGCCACTGAGGGATCTTGTATTCCCAATAAAGCAAGCAAATAGATGCTTCACCAGGGTAAGGCAAATCATTTCACAACAATCCAGATTTGTCTTTCTGGCTTTCCTCAAATAAAAGTCACTACTGAAAGAGATTTCAGATCATGGACAAGATCAAGGGGAATACCACGAGACAGTTGATGGCAATCTCAAAGGAAGACTTTGCAAACTGTTTTGAAAAATGGAATGCACACTGAGATAAATGCAAGGTCTCAAGAAGAGTACTTTGAAAGGACCTAGGCACCATTACCCCAGGTAAGCTCTCCACACCTTGTTAATATGAAATGGTTGGATACTTTCTGTGCAAGCCTAGTATCTCCATCGTTTATAAGAGGACAGCTTCAAGGTGTTTTTAACTCAGCTGTTAGTCTAAAGATCAAACAAAATTTCATACCTAATGTGTGTATCTTTATACAATTTATAATTCATTAGGAAATTATTTAATTGTTAATTCATGCAAAATTCATTATTTCCATATCAGTAATGGAAATTTACAAGTTTTCATTGATCAGGTTCTTTAAAAGTCAATTTTTATTTATATCTTTCAACTGTTGTGTTCATTTGGCACTAATGCTCTTAAGAACATGAATCCATCCCCCCACATACACTACCAGCTATGGGTAAAACATTTAATAGACTTGGATCTTTAACCTTAATAGGTCAAACAGTCAAAGTGGAAAAGAAGTCTAAATCCAAACTCATAGAGACGGTAATAAGAGACTACTATTACTAGTATCCCAAGAATAGTCAGGACTATGATCACTGAAGGGACAAAAAAGAAAAAAAATTTACAGGGTGCATCAGCTATTTGCAAACACACCTTTATTAAGTTATAAATGGAAAATGACCTATGTAATGTTACACAACATTCACCAAATTTTAACATTCTCTTACAGGTTTATCAAGAGCATTAACACAGCAGCTTCTAATCTTGCAGAGAAAATGAAAAGGTTTACAATGTTCATGCCACTAGCCACAACTTCAAGATAACCTGCTTCTTAAATTTAGCCAGATCCTCTGACTTCTAGGTCAGGAATGGTCTGGATGATTCTGGTGGGAACCTGTCATCTCAGGCCAAGAGAAGCATTCTAAGTGTTCAGATGTCCTGAGGATGCCTAAATTCACCCAGCAGATTCAGGTCATCAATTAAAACCCCAGCAAATTGATAAGAAGCATCACTAAGCAGTTCACAAGGAAATCGGTTAATTCAGTAAGTATATGTGGATACAAAAGTAGTAATTCATGAAAGAACATAATGACAGAAACTTCTTATAGATTTTATAACAAGGAAAAAACAAAACTAAAAATATTTTTTGAAGTAGACACGTTATTTCATTTTTTTCACAGACAAAAATTAAAGAAAATAAAGACCTTTTTTCTACCATTTGTTCAAAAATACCCCAAAGCTAATGGTTTTGATTCCCGCCAATTTGTTGCTACTCCAATTTTCATATTTGCATACCTACATATCTTTAGCTTTTAATATTTTGCTTGCATCCAGATTTATGCTGCCAGGTAAGTGATAGGAGAGTATGTCACTGTAAGCACTTATGCTGAGAACCAGCATCAGCTGTAATTAAGGATAAAATTTTGATAATACTAGAGCAAGTACTATTCATTCAAAACTCTACAGTCTTTTATCAAATGTATCTTTGAAAGTATAAATCTAGATATTAAATCATAATGTACAAGTCTTCTCAGAAACACATTCATATTTTTAAACTATTTATCTATGCTTTTTATTTGATGGAAACTAAAAAAAAATGTTGCATTAGCCAACTTGATTGGATGGAATGCATGTATTGTGCCCCACTAAACTAGACAGTCTTATTACAAAATAATAAATTCCTACAACTGTTGCTATTGGAAACAATGTCACTACAAACCAATATTAAACCAATGTGTCTCAAATTTCTTTTAATTGACAACATATAAGTAAAGATCCTGGCACCCTCACAGCCTATGGGTTGCCTGCAGATCTCCTTTTCAAATTCTTTGTGTCTATGTAAAAACACATTACTTTCACATGCATGCACCTAGCTGAACTATGAACTGCAATTATTAGTTCTGAGTATGACGATAAAGTACATCTGCCAGCAAGGCCTCTGATCAGGAGATTGGAGGTTTTGAGGACCATGGAACCACATCTTAGTTGCTGTTGTTCATTGGTTAACCCTAACCCAGGATGGTAGCAACTGTTAGGGTCCTAGCTATGGGCAGATAGTAAACCCCCAAACAAAAGCAAAACACTATGAAAATATAAAATATATTTTATAGTAAAATTATCAGCAATACAGGTTTATATAAAAAAAAAAAATAACCAAGAATACATTTTATCAGTAGTTAAAGGTATACAATTGCATTCAAAATACATTTAGTTGAAGCCATAAAACTCTGTTCAAATATTCAGATTTTGGCATTAAATAACCCAAAGAGGTTGATACGTCGCTAAACAAAATCAACCAACCAAAACACCAACATGAAAGAACTCTTTCATGATATTAATCTAAATAATATCTTACAATTTCTTAAAGAAATCAAACTGTTTTTCAAAATATAACTTCAACAAAACAAAATTATGTCCACACAAACATGTATATGCACAAAAGCTGAATACCATCTACCACATATTCAATTATGAAAGCAGAATAACATTTTTATTACTTCAAAGTGCCCAATTTTAGCATTAAATGACCCATAAGGAGTTGATATGTTGTCAAATAATCAAATCAACTGCAATTGTTTCAAACAAAACTTATGAAGGAATTATATTTAAATGTTCATTATTTAGAATTTTTTTCTTTTAAAAGTGAGTGAAGCATTACTTTCAAAGAGGAATTTTATTAATTTTGTCTTGTGCTATTCTCTTAAAATATTACTTTTGCTAAATACATTGTTCATTAATAATACAAATATTAAACTTACTGTTATCATTGAATTTAAAAAAAAAAGAAAGACTTATCATATAGGCTCCTTAAATAATTTATTTACCCGTATTGATTAAAGTCAAAAGAAGAGAATTTTTAAGTTAAGCAACATTGAGCCCTATATGGATGACCACTTGGGAATACCAAGTTCTGTAAGCTTGGATATGTGTGTATGGTGTAATGGATAACAGCTGAGAATTGGAAATATCAGAAAGCAGAGTTCCAATTCTCATTGGGTTCATTATATTCACTTATGTACAAATACCCTTCGGAAAAGTATGAATCCACCTCTTCTCCTCTCAGCTACTGACTAATTAGTAGGACCTGTGTCGGTAAATCATTATTATCTCAAAAAAATTCTTACAATCTAAAAATATTTTCTGGCTTTAAATAACCTGCAAAAGGTTGATAATCCATAAAAAACTAATCAATGTTTCTCTAATAATAAGGAATTGCCTTCAGATATTATCTTACGAGATCACTCACCATTTTAGTCTTTCTTAACATTTGGAGAACCATACCTATGGTAATTTAATATTACTAATTCCAGTTAATCAATAGCCAATCAATAATGATTATGATATAATTAAAGGAAAAAATAAGAAACCTCCAAAAATAATAATAAAAATATTACAGCATTGGTTCCAATTACTAGGAATGTCTGCAAAGATTTTCCCCTGCCCAAATTTATAGACAAAACATACAGATGCATGCTGGGATTTCTTCCAAGCCAATAAGATAGATGACTTCTCAGTCTCATGCAACTTAGTTCTGATCTTTCATGTCTTGAAGTCAGAATTCTGCCATCGCTTGTCTGTATCTCTTTTGTGTGTTAACACCATAGTAATGAACTTTTTACCTTGTTACCGTTTGTTTTTGCCTTGCATATACTGTTTGTTTAATATTATTTTTGACATGTTCTTTTCTTTCTTTTGTTATTGTTTATTGCAAACTTTGTCAGTTCTTTTGGTTAGGCATTTCTGCCAATTGCATTTAACCATAGCCAATTATTCTACACACAGGCATACAGAGAAAATTTACAATATTGTAAAATGTAAGCAAATAACTTTTTCAACATATTTACATATGAGGTAAACAAAAATAAAATTAAATGCATTAAGACATTAGGTAAATAAATTACAGTTTTTAATGAAAAGCAGTTTAAAATAACTTTACTGAAATTCATTTAAACTTAGGACTGATTTGAACAGAAATTAAAGTAAGAAATTGTTGTAATTGGAGCTAGAATACAACTTTTAACAATGTCAATGAAATGTAAAAGAAAATGCTAAAACTGAACTGATGATTTAACATTTGTACTTACCATAAAGTTTAAGGTATTTTCTACCAAACCCTGTAAAATTAAAACATTTTGCCCATTATTGAAAAGGGAGATATTTTATTAATTTTTGTAGAGACAAAATAAATATTCTAAGTAAGTCTAAGTAAATGAAATAATAATAGTGATTAAGAACTAATATAAAACAAAATTAAACAATCATTTATCAATAAAAATATAACATGATTTAGATGTTAAATTGATAAGTTGGGTGAAAAGTCATTCAATTTCAAAACTAAAATAAAATTATTCTATAATAAATTAATTTTTATAATTGTTCTATTTTTTTATTTCATTTTTTCAATATTTTTCAATTCATTTTTAATTTAAATGTCTTTAATTTTTTTTTTTCACAAACTCATTCTAAATTAGCTACAGACTCATTAATTTTTTTTCATTCAAATTCAGTCCATTCATGATGAATCCAAATATCAGCAGATTTTCAGCTGCACTCATATAGCAAAGTGAATTTTCTTTCTTTTTTATCCCAATGCAACAAACAGGTTTGTGTGTTGGAAATTTGAGTTGAAAGTTGAACACAAAAAATATGAAGGAGGGGATTTTTGTTAATTTAAAAAACAAAAAACAAAAAAATAACAAGAACCTGACAGACTGATAAACTGATTTCAATCTACTCAGAAAAACAGGAAGTTAATAAAAAGTGTGTGTGTGAAACCATCAGAGATGAATTTAAAATGGTTTCTTCTAACTATTAACAAAGACTTTTGCTTATACTCTGTGGTAATACCATATTTAATGGATATAATATCCAATTCCTACTCAACCGCCACCAAAAAGATAAAAAAGAAAAAAACTCGGTTCTTATATACAAAGTTGACTTATCTGGAAGATTCATGTTTTTACAAACTGGTAGTAATAGTACCTTGCCTAACATGATAGTACTGTAATAGTAAATGTAAATGGTGAGAAAGGAGGTGGGGGTTTATGTGACATTAAATATCCTATTCCTTTCCTAAAAGGAATTGTAAACATACAGATACCTCACACACAAACTGAACTAACATTATGAAAATTCTATAAAACTTATTTGTCAGCTGCTATATTAAAGTTGTCCAAATCTAAAATTTTCCAACAGACAATCTAATAAGTTGTTTCACTTGATTATAAATAACTATAGGACAGCCTGTTAACCAATCTGATTAATTCATATGTATTTTATGGTATTAGAATATTTATAAATTTGTCAAATTGAAGATACTCATTATAGAAAATTTACTTAGTAAAAGACTTTTAATTTCAAACCAACAATACAATCTACTTGTAAAAAAAAAAAAAAAAAAAAAAAAAAAATGACACCACATAATACAAATATAAATAAAAAGAAAAAAAATAGACTGACCTAATTAGGATTTGGAATATTACTATTTAAAATGTAATGTGAAAACAAATAAAATAAAAATGAAAGGCTATCCTTTTGAATAGTGACTTCAAATCAGTAACAAAGTAAACAGTGATATATATATATATATATATATATATATATATATATATATATATTTTAAAATGCAGACACTTTATGGTGAAACATTTTTTAAATGAAAATAAGAAATAAAATAATACCTCTACTTCAGAATATCCAAGGTGTACCAAATTTGCTGAAGAAAAAAAAATAAAGAAATAAAATAAAAAAATTATTAATATTTTCAAAATGTGTTTATAGTTTAAATTTTAAAATATTGCCAGGTAAAAAAAGAAAAAAAAAAAAGATATTTTTATCATTTCTTCTTACAACTTTTTGACTTAGATGAAAACAAGCAAGATTAAACTATACAAACCTGTCAAAAGCAACAGTTTTGACTTTGCACTAATGCCCATATCAGCAATTGTCAAATAGTAAATATGGACATTACGTTAACATATAGTCAGTTTGCATTAAATAATACAATTTTCAGTAACATTCACAAAATGTTTTAACTTAATTTTTATTATTAATCAAAACTTAGTCAATATTTATTTTCATTTGCCATAAAAAAAATGAATTAATAAAATATAGGCATCCCAAACTGCCCCTGTTTACACTGCAAAAACATGTTGAAATAGTGAAATTTCATTCAATTCCAACTGCTGAAATCTTATTTATTTTTGAGAAAATTAGTATATAAAGAAAATTTAGTCATTTCTCTTTATAAAGATACAATTCTTTCTCTGTGTGATGATTAGTTTTTATTCAACGTCTCTTTAAATTATGTCACTATTTCAACAATGGGCAATAGTTTTCCCATATTTTCAAAGCTGACAATTTCATAGTAGTGTTTTTAAAATTTGTTGCACTTATAGTTGTGTCTCCCTACACAAATCAAAAAATCCCATTATAAAGAAAAAAACATGCTTGCCACTTTGGTGGGATTAAGATAGGGTTTGAAGTTTTCTTTCACAAAAAATTTCTGAGTTGAAAACTTTAATGAATAAAATACCAGAGAAATTCAACTCAAAAAAAAAAAAAAAAAAAAAAAAAAAAATATTAAAATTACACTTTCTTGGAGAGCAATGTCTTCTCTTTAATAATCAGTTGGTTTCATATCTCTGTACCCACACAACTTGGGATGCACATGAATCAAAAAGAGGGTATACTGCATTCATTTTGTGCAAAATCATTGTGCTGGACACATTGATGACCAAGTCAATAAATATTGTCAGCTAAACCACAATTTAAATCAAACTTGTTTCATCAAAGAATATCACAGTTTAAATCTATTTCTTATATTTTCTTTAATGATGCATTTTAAAACTGTATAAAGTACTTATTCATTGTATTTTGTCAAAAATCGTCACATTCAAATAACATAAGTTTTTGTTTTTTTCTTGATCCAAACTAGAGATCTTTTTCAGCATCTTCTCATATGTTATATATTTTTGATTACATGATTATATCTGGTGTGTACTAGCACTGAACCCCCAAGCAGGGAGGGCTGATTGGGGGCCCTGGCAGTGCTCTGTGACCCTCACTATCTTATCAACATTTGCTTTTTTTCTACTTATATTTATATAGATTACAAATTAAACTAAGCATAACTGACTATTAAAAAATGAAAAATCTTTGCAGATTTTGATATCATTCTGGAGTCTTTTTTCTTCATACAAATCCATGAATTTGTTTTGCCCATGTTAAGTTTTAAAAAAACACTATATAAAATTCACTATTTTTTGAAGTGTAAACTTTTCTAGTTTGAGTATTTCTGGGAAGAGAAGCAGTCATATAATCCAGGTTATTTCCCTTACAACTAGGGGTTGGATCTTCACCGAAAGCTGAGGTATAATTAATAAGATAAAACTCAAAAGTTTTGCTATCTTTGAAAACAAAAAGGAAGAAATTGAAGCAAAAATCTTACCTAAAAGGCACAGAGCATAGTTTCCCTCAAGGGAATTGAAGACAATGCGGGTACTTTGTTCATTGGTCAAAAGATCGAGGCACCGTTTGAAAATACGATGAGTAATCAATGTGTTCATACACTGTAAATAGAAAGTAATATCAAGATAGACTACAAAAAAAAAAAAAAATTATTAATGAACAAATAAATATAAAAATGTATGACTATAAAAAATTTATCCAAAAGATTTAAGTCTCTTTATTTTACTAGCTATAAAAAAGGAACTTTTCTTAAACTGAGATGTGATGGAGTAAAAAATTAAAAACCAATACAAAAATCATAGCTAATGTGTAACAGAAAATCAAGGTCTTTCTTCTCCAACATGTCAGTTGGATTAAAAAGTAAATATCTTTTAGATGAGATAAAAAGCAGCTTCAATAATTTCTTTGCTACAAAAGGGGACCAACATCCAAACAAATTAAATTATACATTAAGGACATACATCACTTGGAGAGGTAAGTTGATAATAAAAACTAAATGTACAGATAAGATTCATTTCTAAGAACCAACCTAAAAATGCTAAGTGGTAAAAGAAAACAAAATTACAGGGTGTGACAGAAATATCTCCCAGAAATACATCCTACATAATAGTAAGACATTAGCTAGATGAAGACACCATATTTTTTTTTTTTTTTGTTTGTTTTAATCAAGTTAACCCCAAGCAAGGTAGTAAAGACACTAAGACACAAGGGGTTAGTGGGCATGGAAGAATTAACAAACAAAAACATTACTAAGAAGCGAGAACAAAAGAAGAGTAATCAGGACAGCAGATAGCAATTGACATTGCATTTAAATTTTTAAAGATTAAAGTTGACTGGAAAGCATGGAGCCAGAAGAGTTCCACAAGCAAGAACTGCAAGAAAAGAAATTGCTAACATTATGTGGGAGGTATTTCTGCCACACCATAAGTTATATCATAGACAAATACTAACAACATAAAATATACACATGACATCTACTTAACCACTGAAAACAAAAACATAATTTAAAAAGTGAATCATAGCTCCATATTGTTCCACTCCCCAAATTTCTGAAAAAGCTTAATTAGTGGCAATGATGTCTTCATCTACCTAATGTCTTATCATTATCTGTGAGGTATTTCTACCACACCTTGTTTTTTATATTTAAAACTATCACTTTTGCACCACTCTGGTGGTAAAAATTATAGACTGTGATACAGCAATAAGAGAAACAGTTCAGAAAACTGAAAGCTTACTGTCATTATTGGCACCTGCTCTCATCCAAGCATCGAGATCATCAACCTCTCTCCTTAATCCCTTTCTCCCATCTGGTGGTGGTGACGGAGATGGCTGTGAAGGCCCAGCCCACTCCTGAAGAGATGCAGGTCACAAGGGATATGACCATCACAAACTTGCCGCCATGTGGGTGTGGACTAAGGGCCCCAGCTAACCAAACCTGCCCCTGTCACCAATGGGACTATCACCACTGAAATTGCTGAAGGGTGGTAGAAAGTGAAGTCAAAGAGAGTTTGACAAGGCCATTCACATGAATTTGATTTTGAAGGACAACTCTGCATGAAGGAGAAGCCCACACACTTGGCCAGAAGCACCTGCCTCACAGCTTAATAAAAAAGCACACTAATTAATTGATAATTGGTAATTTTAATTACACTTAATAAAGATTGGGAAAAGAAATACATGAAAAACTATCAGAATATTATTTAAATTCATTCTATTTCAAAGTAATGATTCTGAGGCCAGTAATGAAATTTCTGTGATGTAATGAACAAGAATGACTAAATTTAAAAATTGATTAAGGTGGGGGGGACTAACAATCACTGATTAATCAGTAAATGCTGATAATACCATTCAGCAATTACAATTATCAACTGAGTAATTGCTGGAAAATGCTTATAAAACCAGTTAACTGAAATTACTGAAGATTCCTATAAAAAAAAAAAAGAAGTCAACATTTTCATTCTTGCTCATGTAGAGAGGAAAACCAATAATCAAGAATTACAGCCAACAGGCTAATGATTTTCCTGATTTAATTAAGAGTTTTGATTGATTAGTAGACAATTTTGGCTCATCATACCATTTTGAGGCTAGTACAGATTGGTTTGCTCTGTTAAATAAAATATTGATAAATAAAAATGTTCAAATTTCCATGATATTACTAATTTTGGGTAGAATTGAACTGATACAGCACTCAATTTCTCATTGTTTTCCTTTTGTTTTCCTGTGTTACCAAGTTTGACAATCAATGTTAATATTGTTTTACAGAAAATATATCACATATCCTACTACTTGCCAACACATAACTGGTAGGCTTGGAATGGATATAATTCTAATACATATCAGAATAAAGTATACATGGTAATTGTTTAGATGAGCTCTTCACTATGGTACCTAGATTTTTTTAATTTATGCGCAGTACTAGACTGGCATTGAGAGCTCATCAATTTACAGTTGAGCTGACTAGATGTAACCATAAATTATATGCTAATAGTTTCTTTTCTTGCACTTCTTGCTTGTGGAACTGTCTTTCAGCTCCATGCTTTCCAGCCAACTTTAATCTGCAAAAATTTAAATGCAATACCAATCGCTATCTACTCTCTTCCTTATTACACTTCCTGCTCATTATTAATGTTTCTGTTCCTAATTCTTCCACACTCTGTAACCCTTTGTGTCTTAGTGATACTGATTAAAAAAAAAAAAGTCATGCAAAAGTGAAAGAGTGATTTACCTCCTGAGTGTGAATAGTGATATGATAAACCACAGCAGGCACAGATAGAATATGCAATAAAAACATTGTCATGAGGTTGTCAGAAAAGTTGGCTGCCAACAATGGTCTGAAAAAGAAAACAAGACAAATTCATTAACAGATAAAAAGCAATATTTTAGAAACAACAATCTAGTAAGACATTTCATCTACCATAAACAACTTAGTCTTAAACATATTTCTAAAACAGACTTTATATTTAGGATCAAACTAGCTTGGCCAAATCAACTAAAATAATAAAAACGAGACACCAAATATATAACAGAAAACTTAGCATTGTCTCATTTTTTTTCAAAGTTTAATTTATATTGTTGCTTAATACTTGAATTCTTCCTTCTTTTTGGTTAACAACACATCACTCTTAATACTTGAATTACACCGACAGAAAATAAAATGTGTTTCAATTTACATAATATTACATGTAAAAGTAATATAGCTGGATTTTTACTAAGTGACCACATATATGAATCAATAAATTGATACATGCTGAGTTTCCAAAATAAAGATGTTTAATCAACAATACTCAAGACAATATTAATACACTATATATCCTCATTGGGCACTAACTAAGGCTTGTACACTAGTATACCTACAACTACATAGATGGTGAATATCATCCTGTAATACTGTTACATAAGTGACAAAAGAAAATAAAGGGAAATTTTATTTGAATTTAGTGTTTTGTTTAGCAGGCTAAAAGGAAATAAAAAGGCTTACCAGCAAGAAGTTAAAATTATTTCAAAGTAACTTCAGTTGATGTAACACTGAGGCCATGAAGTGTTTAATGTTAAGTATAAACTGGAAGAGCCATGAAGTGGTTAATATTAAGTATAAGCTGGAAGATAGAGAGAGAGTGGAAGATATTTTCCCTGATGATGAGAAGTGAAAGGGGCCATCTGGGATTTCTCTCAAAAGCTTTATTTTTAAATACTGAGAAATCTGGCATGTGATGAAATTGAAGTGAGAAATAATTTTATCGCATCCTTGAGAAATTAAGAAAAAAAATATTAACAAGGAGAGAAATAGGTCTGGGTTATATTTTTGCTGATGAAAACAAATTCAGAAATTTAAATGAAGGTTAAATCAGAATTAACTCTTCTTAAGCGTTGAGTGTACATTAAGATGGAAGTTATGAAAACAAATCCTGTCATTGGCAGGCAAGAGAGTGGTCTGGTTTATATTTTGCTGGACAGAAATGAGTCCAAAGAAATGAAAAGAAACCAGAGAATTCAAAATTAATGAATAGAATAAAACTCCACCTTTCCATCTACACTTTAAAAATTAGATTTGTCACAAAGACAGTTACGCCTGTTCTGGGAAGTAGGCTGATTAAGAATGCAGAAATAGGGGACAAAGAACCCTTGTTGGAATTAATGCAAAAATTGGGGAATCACTGAATCCCCAGAACCTGTCATCTCCCACTGGTTTTGGGCTGAAGTGTCTACAAGCTTTTAGAGTTCGAGGACTTGCACAGCAAATTCCTGCATCAGTGCCTCTGGAACTACATCAACTTCCACCAGATCTCATGACTCTGAAGAACTTTGAACCCAGCTCCTCCAGAAATTTTAAGAAAGTCCAGTATCACTATAGAGATTGATGCAGGAGGGTTAATTTTTGTTGTACCAAGAATTACATAAACCAAGATTAACCCCTTGATTCTTTTGTTTTTATTTAAGTATGTGAAAATAATTCTTTCCTTAATACAGCTTTCAACACAGTTTGACCCAGTGCTTCGATTACTTGCTAGGAGAACAGATCTAGCAATTATACCAGACAAGAAAGTTACTGAACTTCTTGTTGAGTAGCATGAGCATCATGTGGGTAGGCATTACCATGCTGAAACAGTATATCACCTTCCTGCTGCAAAAATGGTAGAACAGGTTAAATAATATTCTGGACAGACATAGCACAGTTCAACATTCCTTCCGCAAAGACCAAAGATAAGCAAGAATTGCAGCAACCATGATTTGCATAAAGCTAAAATCAATTTCTGTAACGGAACACAACAGCACCATTCAATCCACCAAGTAACCCAACTCAAAGATTACTGGAGACGTACACAACTGTGCTGTGGCATAAACAGTAGTCTGGCTATAGACACACAACCCAGCAAATAAACAATTCCCACAAGCATGTGTTAACACATCTGGGGCAATACTTGCTCTGATCTGTGCTGTGGATGCTATGTAATCTTCCAGTGTTACTCTTACACTGCATTGATTTTGGCAAGTGTTAGTACAATGCAATCATCCAGGACTTGGTCTATGGGTGTAGCAATGTTCATTTGCAAACACTAAACCAATACCAAAGCATCACATCCATCAAGCACATCCCATGAGATGAATGCAAGCATTCTACAAGGCTCTCTCGTTGGTCCTACCCTCTTTCTGCTTTATATTAACAATCTGCCTAAGAACATTTTCAGATAATTAGATGAGCAAGAGGATACCAGTTTATGGGTACACCTCCAGAAATCTGAATGACCAGAGCCTGACAACTGATCTCTCTTCTGATCTAGCTCTAACAGCTCAATGGGGAGAAAACTGGCTTGTAAAATTCAATATCTCCAAAACCAAGCTAGTAACATTTCATCATCACCAAACAAACCCTGAATTTTCTCAAGTCATGATGAACTGTTGTACTCTCAAAGAGTCTTTGCCTTGAACATCTATTGAGACTCAAGTTCACTTCAGACCTCAAGCGGAACTTATACATATGATCCATCTCTAAAGATGCTGGTAAAATGGTCAGTTCCTTATATTACTTCAGAAAGCATCTGACTACTCCTGCCATGCTCTCTCTTTAAAAGAGTCAGATTAGACCAAAAATGGAGCATTTCTGCCACATTTGAAGTTGACAGAGTTCCATCTATGTGGCCTAGTGAGTAACAATTTTCCACCCTATAACCCCTTTCTCAGAGACAAAATATTGGAAACCTCTTGCTACTATATTACTATTTTCATGGAAAATATTTTGACAAGCTACATTCCTTAGTTCCACCAGTTCAGACCTCTACATCTAAGACCCACTATGCTATGTATACAGGATAGAATCATCCTCATCTCCTCATATTCCATTACTAAGAAGGAAGTTCCATTTGGACACCTTCTTGCGGACAGTGACATTGTGAAACCTGAAAGGATGCTTCCCTGATCACAAGAATCTAACTAAAATTTTCAAGTGTAGGGGGTCAACAGTTATCTACATACAACAATCTTGTTCAATAACTCACCAACTCAAGTGTATCTTGGGATTTATATTGAATGAAGAACAGTAACAGTAAAAAATAAATAAAATCCAAAATGACCATCTAGCTTCTCAAAGGCCCCACAATACAACCCCCTATCACCTCCCCTACCTAAAGTCAAGTGCTATACCTGATATATACTTGTGTGATCATGTCTTTTTCAATTCATGACTAAGCAGATTTTCATGCAGTAGGTTGCTGTTTCTTTCTGCAGTAAACTGGTTGCCAACAAAGGCTACAGGGTCCAGTTTCTCCTGCTATTCAACTGGGGGTACAAGAAATGGATTAAAACCTTTCCCAGAGATATTTGTGCATAAGTAAATGTAATGAAACCAACTGGAATTTGAACTCAGCTCTCAGATTTCTCATTCCGAGCTGTTATCCAGTACAGCACATTGCACCCAGTTGAACAAAAGGAGATAATAACACCTTGCTTTAAACTATCACCAAACTGAATTTTATCACAGCTCACTGTGGCGGACATGAGACAGAACCTGGGATGAGCACAACCGGTCGCGACTTGCCTTGTCCCCACCAAAAAAGAGCCCATATTTGCTTAGCATGTAAAGCTACTGCAGTTGAAATGAGGGAGAGAAAAAAAGCACTTACCGCTCTGCCGTAATCCATCCTCGGCCAGATAACGTAAAAGAATAAGGGGGGACTGGCATTGCATTTTTATGCAATAACGATGCAATGCATTATGGGACATGGACGCAATGAATTATGGGATCACATGAAGACGCAAGGGATTATGGGTATATGAACAACTATAAAAGCAACTACTTTTTCCGAGTCGGGGAGTTCTTCGAGGGACGTTCACGGTTGACGGCGAGAACAGCCAGTTAGTGTGATTTTGAGACAGAACTCAAGAAGGAATGGCTCAAGGTTGAAATACCAGCTGGGAGAGCTTGAATTTACTTGCTGGTTACTGTTTTCTTTATTCGCCTCACTCACTCAGACACTGGTGTAAATATTACTATGTTAAAAGATAACCACTGACTGAAACTTTCATCAGTATATCTACTACCTATGAGCATGCACATCAGTTTAAATTGGTATCATGCTTTAACATGTTGCAATTTTATTTTCTGTCTGTGTTTATGAAACTTTTTTTTTAGTTAACTGTTTTGTTTAGAAAATTTTAACAAATAAAAAAATTGTATTATGCATGTTCAAAAGTTCCTGACAAGCCTTCAGTTTCTAGTCTAAAAAAAAAAAAATATGAACACTATAAATTTCCATACACAGAACAAAGTTTGAAGAGTAAAAATTTCTTATACCTACCTGAGTGCAATAGTTACAATAGCTGTAAGAGCTGTGCTGCTAAAAACTGGCTTAGAACGGGCAAGGCCTCGTGTGAGAAGGACCTAACCCAGTCATAAGAAAATTGGGGGTAAAAGAAAGAAAACATTGAAAAATAAAATGCTCCAAGAAACCATGATTACAATACAAACTAGATAAGTTCTATTTACACTACTTACATTGTTTGGGCTGTTGTCCTCATCTTTATTATTATATTCACGTTTTGGCCACTGTATGCTCTACCCTTCTTCAGGCAATATTTGTTGGAATTTCAAACCAAACACATTTAGTCCATGGGAGTAGATTGTTTTAATTCCATATAGCATGCGTTTGGATATCTCAGTTTTAGTTAATTCACCTTGATAACTCTAAGTTTTTGTTCTCTCGACTGATTCTAGGGATTGAACTCACAATACTTTGGGTCAAGTCACTTTTTGGATCAAGGACACATGGCCTAGTAGATAAAAGCATTGGTTGATTAATCCAAAAAATGACTTTACACAAAGAGTTGAGAGTTCAATCCCTGGCCTCAGTAAAGAGAACAAAAACTTGGAGAATGTACAATGGCCAAAAACATCACAACTGTGATGATAAAAACGAGGACAACAGTCCAAATAGTATAAATAGTTACAGCTCAGAAATATAGACAGATAAGTTTTATTTGTGTATGTCTGCCTATAACATGCTAAAACTTTGTATTGACTTGCCAATTTCAATAACAGCAGTATATTTGAGGCTCATTTTATTAGAAATAAAATTCCTAATGGTTCATATCTAAAATACAACTTATAAGTGTCTTGAAATGAATCTACCAAACAAGTGAATTAACTATTTATGAGATTTATATATACAAATTTTTTTAAATTTATTAATTTTCAGTAACTGGAGTCCAAATACAAAATGCAATTTTTTTAAACAATATCAAATGTCAAAATGAACATATACACATATAAACATAAAAAGCGCTTTCATATATGCAAACACATATGGCATTAACCAATCAACATGCTCAAAACTGCCAAATAAATATCAGCTGTTAAAGTCTCACTGTTTGCATGACTTCCTGCATTATTTGCAATGATGTCATCATATATTATGGCAGAGTATACATGAGACAGGTTACAACAAGTTGAAGCAATATTTATGGGATGGGTTTTAGCAGATTGAAGGTTAAAAGTATTAAACATGAAAAGTACTTTTAAATATACAAACACATATGCCATTTCTAACAATATAGATTAAGGCTAATAGAATTCAATTGATATTGATTATCTAAAAGGTCTAATCATTGTAGTTACAACACAGCCCAAAAAATAACAAAGTTACTTACCTGCAGTACGCTGTAGAGACCTTTTGTGTTGAGATATCCCATAACATTGTTGCACAGCTGGGTCAACCCTGGTTTCAATGCATCACCTGAAAAAGAAAAAAAAATATGCAATGGGTCATGTATATCAGAAACTTCAGTCACTTTTCCATCATCATGAGGTTGCCTCTCTGTGTCTTTTCTCTAAACATAAATACATTCATGGTAATTGTTCAGATGAGCTCTTCACTATGATACCTAAACTTTTTGAATTTAAATGCAATACTAAACTGGCATAGAGACCGCATTAATTTACAGTTGATCTGGCTAGATGTAACCGTAAATTCTATGCTAACAATTTCTTTTCTCACATTTCTTGCTTGTGGAAGTCCCTTCTAGCTCCATGCTTTCCAGCTATCTTTAATCTGCAAATACTTAAATGCAATGTCAATCACTATCTACTGTCCTCCTGGTTACTCTTTTCCTCTTCATTATTAATGTTTCTGTTCCTAATTCTTTCACACCCTGTAACCCCTTGTGTCTTAGTGGCTTTACTGCATTGCATGGGGTGATATTGATTAAAAAATAAAAAAAATGTCCTGTGTGGCTTTGTTTCTAACAATGTTTTCCTACGTCTTAATATTTTATTTAGTTTTTGAAAGACAAATCTCTGTACCCTCTTGATATTGATATTCTCAATATGTAGCTCACACCTTGACCTGTATTTTTTGCTGACAACCATGTAGTTAGCTTTCTTACAGTTAATAGTCCTTCTCGTTTTCAACTGATACTTTGTCTAAACACTCTTTCAGTTTCCTTTGAGTCTGCCATCAATAGCATCATCTGCATAGTTCTTAAGATAATGTTTACTCATAATAAATCCTAGTAGGTTTTCTAGTTCTCTTAGTACTGTTTTTCTATATAAGTTGAATAAATCAGGTGAGTAAATGAATTGTTGTCTTACTCAATGTAAAACAAAATGTTTATATATGTCAAAATTTCTGAGATTTTTTGGCATTGACCAGTTTGCCATTTTGCATTTCATTTTTGAGATAAATTGTCAAAATATGTTTTTTAATTTATTCAAACAATGGTTCTCATTTTGATCATTATAGATGTTATTACAGACACAATGTTTCAGCCAAGTACCATCTGGCCATCTTCAGGTGTCCATTATTTTTAGCTGATAGGGGATATCTGCTGATTATTTTGCCCATGTGATACCAGTTTGTGTTCATTCCTGCTGAATCAATGTATATTATTTCACTACATGATCTATGGATTGAACTTACAACTACTAGATGACAGTAATACATGTTTAATCAGCACTTATATCCATATGCCACCATCCCAACAAAACTTCAGAATGTGTACTCTTCAGCTTTCCTCAAATGCTTGACACATTTGGTAGCATTTCAAAAATGTTAAATGAAATTCTTTATTCAATGTTCTCATTCACATGCTTGTTACTTCCAGTGTCCTTCCTCAAGAATTTTTCAGAACTTGACAATTATTCCATATGATGCCAATTTGACCTCTTTACTGACCTAGTATATGTTAATTATGTAAGATATTTTGGAAAATTTTTCTTTGAAATGTTTACCTGATGACCAATGTTGTCAGAATCAAAATTTTATTTCACAAGAACAAAATCTATATTACAAATTTACTGATATATTGATTCATTCAAACCAGTCTTCTTGTCTTTGTTCCAATATTTCAATCATAATACACTTCAACTCCAAGAATATTGAATGAAACTTAGTTATTTGAGGAGTCCATTGTTCTGAAATAATTTTTGACAAAACTTGATAATTCTTTTTGATACCAATTTAGTTTTCTGCTAATCCAGTATATATTTTTGGATTACTTACCATAGATTAAACTCACAACTTCCAAAGGTTCAATAAGCTTTACCAATATTTTATCTATTAGGCTATGTCTCAGAGGTTACCAAAGTAAGATTTTTTTAGAGATTTAATCCATTATTCTTTCTGACATCATAAGGTAGAACTCACTCTCAAGATAGGAACAAGTTATGCCCTTTGATCAGAACTCTAGAAGAAAGAAAAAAAAAGATTTCAAGATGTCTGTCAGGCATTCTCTCATGTTTCCTATCGGACACTATTAATATACCAATAATCCACTGGTCATGTTTACATCTATTGTTACCTAATAGTAAATAAAATGTATAAAAGTTTGAATTGCAGGTTTCTTTCTTAATTGATATAAATAAGTACACCCACAGACACAACACTTTCTTAATTAGTGTTCCCATAGAATTTTTCACCATCAGCTGATAATTAGGAAGTTTTTTTTTCTCTCACCTTAAGCACTGCTACACTGATTTTGCATATAAATGTGTATAAAGTCCTATCCATAGAAATGTACATTGATTCTACTGCTCTAATATTAGCATTTTGGGTTTTTTTTCTTCTATTTGGTTACACATACATATATAAACATACACTATTTGGTTTTTATAACATTAGCTATGATGGACAGAAGAAATACGTTTAAATAACGTAGATCAAATGGAATTAACAACAATCCTCTTATAGTAATTAATGAGGAAGTCTCAATTTTTAGTTGTTTACTATTTACATAAAATTTATTATAACAGAAACTATTTAACCCTTTTGAGTCCCCTGGGACACATGTGTCCCACAGGTGTTTTCAATACATCCTGTGGGGCATAATTATCCCAAAAATGCATTGATATGGGATAAAGCGGACATAGGGTTGTCCCATTGCTATATTTATAATAATACATTCAATAATATTATTTTTCTAAGTCAAAGTTAGTTAGATATGTCTACTGAAAAGAACAATAATATTTTTTGCTGTATACATCAATTACATGAATGTGGACTAAAAAGGGTTAAAAACAAAATAAAAGGAAAAAAAAGGAAAGAAAACATTTAACCACCCAAGTTTTAATGCAACACAAATTCTCAAGGTTTCTATGTTGAACCATTTGACAAACTCACCTGCCTTGCCTTTAAGAATTGCCCAATTTCCTATGCTCGTAAAAGTTATCAACATTCGAAGGTGTACTGTCATGGCTGTGTTCTCACTGTGATTTTCAGGCTGTAAAAGAAGTTAGAATTCAATCACAAATCAATCTTTGCATACAATACAATGAATGCATGAAATCAACCATAGAATGCATAGAGTATTAAAAACCTGAATTCTTCTAGCATATTTAAGTTTTAATGATGTAGTATGAGTGACTTTCCAGTCATGAAACAGGCTTTTCAATCAAGTATGAAAACATGCAGTGATTACATGCAACACATTGACTGGTGCTAATAAAAACCAAGGCAGTTAACATGCTTAGCAGATTTACAGCATTTGGGTAGTAAGTATTGACCCAAGTAATTGAGAATTATTAAGAGGAAGATACATGATACTGGCTTCTGAAGGTAGAGCAGAAAAGTTTTCAAAAATTTGATAATTCTTTCAAAGGTATACAAGGTGCGATGGTTAAATTGTTGCAATTTTATATTTTTAATTTTGTGCATGAACGTTGTTTGTTTTTGATTTTGTCAACTGCACAGTATAGTAGGGTCAGTTGGGCATCAACTGTGAGAAAAACAGCATCATGATGCAATTCACTCCACCGGATATTTGGAAATGGCATGTTGTACTGCTTGGCATTCATGACAGAAGTTCCAATATGAAAATTTCAGAGTGTTTGAATGTCAATCTGAGGACAGTGCAGAGGATTCGGTAAGAGTTAGATGAGTCTAATGAGTGATGGTGACATTATGCTTCCATTCATATTCACACAGGTCCTCAGACTCAACACAGAGGTGTACAAGTGCCTCGAGGCAGTAGTGCTGTCCTGGGTGAAGAGGGTGGCTGCTGAAAGCACCTATGTCTGGCAACAGGACTCTAAACCATGCCACACAAACAGGAGAAGCCAATCATGGCTGTCAGACAATTTCTGCAACCCTTTACATCTTGCCACCTAACTCCCCAGACTGCAAACCGCTTGATTATTATGTGTAGGGCACAGTTGAGCAAGAGACCAACAAAACTCCTTGTAACACCAAAGATGAACTGAAGGCAAGGATTATGGTAGCATTCACCAACTTAAATGAGGAGACTGTCCAGAAGAGTTGCAGGAAATTCCAAAGTCATGTTGAAGCCAATGGTGACTTTTATTGAATAAATTTACTCTTTCATATTTCAAGATATTTTTGTGTAATTTTGATAAATATATCAAAATGAGATCTGTTATTTTCATTTTTGTGTAATTTTGATGACAATTTATCCATTGCATCCTGTATGTATGTAAAAAAACAAACACCCTCATTCTCATGGGGGAGGGAATAATCTAAAGCAGCTAAACCTTTCAGATCCTAGTGGGATGATATGAATCCCTAGAACATATCTGTTAATAATAGCAATCATTAATTTTTATAAATAATAGTGTTGTTGGTTACAAAATAACAAATTCACCTATATTCTCAGAAAATGATAAAAATAAAAAATAAAGCAATATTGCCTACTTCTCACTCTTCCCTAGTCTTTTGAACAGGAGTAGAGGTATATTCCTCATTTTCTGTTTAAGATTGAAATTATGTTGGTTTGATTTTCTGTAGTCTAGAATCATTATCTACATAACACTATTGTTACATATAGAAAGCATACTGCTTTTTAAAATCATTAGAATAAAAATATCCAAAGAATTAAGATAAGTCCTTAAGGTCATAGAGACATCACATGTACTGCAGCTATAGCAGCAATGGTGGTGTGTCTTTGACAAGATAGCCCGCTGTAGCCCAATCCTCTCCAGATTTGTTTGAATTCAGTTTCTTTTCTCGTAGACTGTTTGCCAGCCAAGGCTAAAGGGACCAGTCTAACCGGCTATTTACATAGCTTTGGGAAGAGATGATAATGATTTAGTGATACAAGTCTTACTAATTAACTGATATCTGGGGGTAAGAAGAGGTGGATTCATACCTTTCCCGAGGGTATTTGCACTTAAAGTGAATATAATGAACCAAACAGGAATTGAAACTTCTCCGACTAAAACTTCCAAGTATATAAACCCTTACACCACCTGCACATCCAAACTTACAGCACTTAGTATTCCTAAGTGTTCACCCATCTGCATACTGTCCAAGTTAAAAAATAATTTATGCACTTTTTTTTTATTAATGTTAGGTTTATTTTTCTTTGTATATGAGTGCGTGTGTGTGTGCACATGTGTAGGATGTTCCGGTTATTTCTTCTTTTCATAATTTACTTTTCTCGTTATTCTTTTTCTTTCTTTTCTTTATCTTTCAGCTCTGAGTGCCAAAAGATAATCTAGCAAAGTTATTTCGGGGGTCAGAGATATTCCAGAAGAATCTGGGGTTTTCTAAATTTGTTCAAAATATTAGTGTATTATATATATTATTTTTTTTGATTATTACTTTTTTGAATAATTCATTTTTTTAATTCTTAAATCGAAAAGGAAACAAAGTTAGCTGTGTTTTATATCATAGAATAGATGCTATTCAAGCATTTCTGTTCTACCTCTAAAAATATCTTGTATTTAAAAACACATTGGCTTTAAAGACTTATTAAATGTTCCATGAACTCAATATAAAATAAATACAAAAATTGCTTGCGCTAAAGTCAATAAGTGTTAAGGTATAAATCACAAGAGTCAACTCCTTTGCAATTCTGACGACAACCTTATATCTGATATTAAAGAGTTACAATTTTATCAACTTTTTTTTTGAGAACAGTACTATACATCTTATGTTAAAATAGGCCTAAGCTATCAACGCAGACATCCCCTAAGGTTTGCTTCTCTGTCCAAGCCTCTTTCTACTATACATAAATGATCTGCCTAAGAGTATATTCCAATCATTTGTGTATACCTATGCTGATGATACAATAGTATATGGGTGCACCTCCAAAACTTTAGATAACCAGAGATTGGCAGCTGATCTCTCTTCTGACATAGCTCAGTGGGGGATAAACTGTATGGTCACACTCAATACCTCAAGAAACCAAACTAGTGATGTTCCATCATTACTGAGCAGACCCAGAACTTTCACTGATCATGATGAATTGGTGTCCCCTCGGGAGGGGGGGGTCACATGCATTGATCACCTTAAACTCAGCTCAGAACTTAGTTGAACTTATACATACGATCCATCGCTAAAGATACTGGAAAAAAATGGTGAGTTTCCTGTACTGCTCCAATTCATACGTGACTTTTCCAGCTATCCTCTACCTTTATTCAGATCAGGCTGAAATTGGAATACTGCTGCCATATATGGGCAGGAGCTGCCCAGTTTTGACTTTCCAGTTTCAAAAACATCTCTACATGCTTGTGGGTGGAGAATCATTTTCCACCCTACAATCCCTTTCTCACAAATAAAACATCACAAGTCTCTTGCAGCTCTATCATTATTTCCATGCAAAGTGTTCAGACAAACATTCCATAATTCCACCAGTTCTAACCTTCACAGGAAAGACCTGCCATGCCATACACATTGCAGCAAACCACCCTCATTCCCTTTATATTCCATCGGTGAGATGTAACATTTCACTCAAGAAACTTCTTTCCACCAACCGTTGCTTTGTGGAACTGACTCCCAAGATGATGCTTCTCTGCTCAAGTCTAGGGTTAACCATTATCTTCCCCACATATTCCAATGAACTGTCCCTCTTACCCTGTAACCCTCTACCTTGAGTGGCTGTTGGGCCTTGTAAAAATTGAACATTATTGCAAAAGAAAAAAATTTTATGTGTGTGTGTGTGTATGCATCTACTCTTGAGATCACCTTTCCTTGGAGCAATGGTTAGTGAGTTAATATCACAGATAATTACTGTTTTCATAAGTTTGATCCTCACTAGGTGCCAAACATTTGTGATCTTTCATCAGATTAACCTTAATAACTACCTAAGCCACATAAAAGCTGCAACTGATTTGAATAAGTCACTTGATGAGGATATCTGTACAGCAGAGAAATATATAACTTACCTTGAGATGTTTCAGACAAATACAACAGTTCCATAAAATGTTCTTGAGTTGCTGGATCCAATCAAGCACATGCTGTTTCTGCAGTGCCATAGAAACATAAGATGTCTGTAAGAAATATAAAACAAAATGAAAACACAATGTTAAAAATACAATCAAGAGATTTGTCAACATTTTTTAAACAATCAAAAGTTAATTAGCAAAAAGTGTTCCTTATCTCAGCCACAAAGTACTTTAACTAATTGTACTGTAGCATTCTATATCCAGTTCACATTTAATTAAAATTTTCTTTTGGAAGCACTCAAAGATAAGCAATTCCTAACAAATTCTGTCAAAAGATAGGTAATTTATCTAGGGTAAATTTGAATTTTGCAGCTGCAACACTTTCTTTATTACTATTTGACAACATATCTATTTTTTTTCTTTTTAAATAAAATAGCTGAGAAAAAAAAACATTCTGTCAACTATATATGAAGACAAGGCTCTTCTTAAAGCCAATAGTAAAATATTATTTTTTTTCTATTTTTCTCCATACTGTTTTAAAAGATGTTTGTTTTAATTGCTATAAAAAAATTTTGTACCCCCAAGAAAATATTTAAACTACTAGTATTTTCTAAATATATATTGCTGGAATGAAGTGGTGCTTCAGCCGATCATATTCTGATGGTAATTCTGTTTGAAGAGCAATCCTCTCAAACAAGCAGTCAAAAAATAATTCAATGAATGTATTTTACCTTGATATTGTCAGGCTCCATACTGAGCAGAAGATATCGACATACATGTTCATATCTCTGAAAATAAAAATAACAATATCTGAATAGTTCAAGCAACAAAACAATGTAAATTCTTTAAATTTCAAAATTTGAGATGCCATAAGGAAGCAGTAAAAAAGCCTACCTTTTTATCTTCTTTAATATTGAACACAAACAAAAATTTCTTCAGTGTTTTGTAGATTTCTATGACTATAAAAGAAAAAAAACGTAGAAGCCTTTATAATATTTCAAAACTAACAGTAACAAAGAGAAGTACCATATTTCCTGACATATAACATGAATATTTAAAAAGATTGATTCTTTCATTCATTTTCTACAGCTCTTTGCAGGTTATTTAAAGCCAGAAAATATTTTTAGATTGTAAAAAAAATTCTTTTTGGAGATAATAATGAGTTAGTGATACAAGTCTTAATTGGGAGGAGAAGAGGTGAATTCATACCTTTCTGAAGGGTATTTGCACCTAAGTGAATATAACAAACCCAACTGGAATTGGAACTCAGCTCTTTGATTCACAATTCTAAGTCATTATCCATTACACCACCCACACATCTTAGCTTGCAGCACATGGTATTTCCAAACAGTTACCTACCTAGTTACTGACCAGGCTTGATGTTGCTGGATTTTGGTGATCATATGGGAACTGGTTTAAACGTAATGTAACCGTAAGCCTTATTTAGAAAGAAAAAAATCTAATAATATTCAACTGATTTGCTTACACATCACTTCTTAAAATTTTAACATTATTTTCATTTTTAATCCTAATTTAATCATTTATAATCATATTTTTTCTGGGGTTATCAGGAGATTAAGTATGTCAAACAAGGACGTTTAGTGCTAGTCTCATAATGGTAATGTTGACCATGAAAGTATAAAACTTTCTGAGAGAATAAGTCCCTCCCCTACTATTCTGTCCCACAAAATTTATTTTTGTCTTATTGTTTTTGTTTTTGGATATTTTAATAATAAACTATTTGCTTGTTATCTCTACATCTTGTCTTCTGTCATTTGTCACCTACTATGTTTGTTTCTCAATTAAATCCATTTAGTTCAGCCATATCTGATCAAATGGGAAAGAGACCATTGAGAAAAGAAATTTGTATTTTTATCTTTATAAGTTATGGTACCTCCTACTGCTGCCATAATGGTAGGCAAAGGGGACTATAACATAAGGAATGTGGTATTTTAACATTATTTTGATTTGTAATCATAATTTAATCATTTACAATTATATATTCATCAAGGATCCAGTGTGTGAAGTAGGAGTGTTTTGATGTAAATTTAGTCCCGGTATCAGCAAAAAAGAAAGACATGAGTCCATCTCTTCTCCTCCCACCCCTAAGCTGTGGATTAAACAGCAAGGGAGATTGAACTCTCTAGCCTTGGATGGCAACCAGTCTAAGAGAAGGAAAACTTTAAATTCTGAACTGTAAAAGTGAACAGGAAGACAGAAGCCATAGGAATTCACAGATAATGAAGGGAATCTGTGGATTCATAATCACCTTCATCCCGAAGGGACATTGCATAAAAAAAAAAAATCATCAAGATGCAGAGTGATATGGAGAGTTTTTTTTTTTTTTGGGGGGGTAAGTGTGCTCTAGATGGCAGGAAATGCAGTAATTATCTACCATAGAAGGATTTTAGCAGCTGCATCAGAAATCTGAAGCGACAGTGGAGAAGAAAATGGGCCACATTTTTAGAATGAAAATTTGCTTGTGCCTCACTGAATTTTATGTGATAAAAAGTAGATTCAAAAATAAAAACCAGAGAAAGGATTAAAGGGAGATAACCACGGATTTGAAGTCAGAACATTATCATTGATAATTCTCTCCTCCAATTTGCAAACACAAGTTACTATATTTTTAATACTTGATATAATGCAAAAACATCACAATGATAAAATCGTTCAATAATTATTTATAACTATTTCAATTGGGACTCGTGTATGCAATTACAAGTAATTCATAATAATATTTTAAATTTTGAAATCATATTTATTTTTGGCATATAAATTTTTTGAAACAATTTCTAAATCTATGATTGTCTTTCAATCATTACGGCTCACCTGCTATCCTCTTCCACCACACATATGAAGTATATCACACTACTGGATTAGAGTATTGAAATAAAGACAATAATATTTACAGTTTAATAACCAATCCTAAATGTGACTTATAGTTCTACTCAAGGAGGAAGACACTTCATTTTTAAAGATGATTCAGTTGTCTGGCCTGCAGATAATAACTACGTCATTATTCATTAAGTGGGGTATCAATTCTAGTTACTTTACAACCTATTAAAGATGTAAACAACTAGAAAATCATTTACACTCAAAACCAAGATAATTGAAAACACACAGCTTTAAGAAAATATTCTATCAGGAATATTTTTTAGAATTATATTCCAACCATAAATCCACTAAATTTTTCTCTACAAAAGATATCAACATAGCATCATCTCCAAATCCATTGCACAGGAACAGTATTTGATAGTAAAAACTAAGCTATAAAATTAAATAGTTTATAATAGTAAGAATTTAAATGAACCCATTTAAAATATAGTGATTGGGAGACTTATAAGGTATAACCCAATCTGTTTATTTAAGACAAAGACATTAAACTAAAATATTTTCAATGTACCCTTAATGAGGTTGCTGTACAATTAAAGGTTCTTGATAAATAAGAAATAAAAACAAGTGATAAAGACACAAAGTGAATGGCTTTAAATGTAGCCCTCCTTTTTCTTGATAATATTTGCAATTATTCAGAAAAGGTTATTTGACATTTATACTGGAATATATCTATATAGTCTTTCAGACATAATCACTGCTATCCACCTCTTCTCCTCTCTCACCCGAGCTATGAGTTAAATCAGTAGTGTGCAGAAATCAGTGCAGAGTGTGTGACAGCCCTAGGTATCTATATTGGGAAGACATCTAATCAAAGAGTGAAATAATAATTTAGTTTATATTTAATTTGAATAAAGTGTTTATTTCATGTTCCATCTGTAGTTACATATTTAAAATGTCTTCCTTTTTCACATTTCTCAGTACTAGTATTTTAGGTCCCCTTACTTGAGTCTTAGTGGCAGACAATGAAGGAGTTGGCCCCAGGTATCACCAAACCATTACATGTTACTGGGTTAAACAGCAGGGAAAACAGCCTTGGTTGGCAATCTAGAGATGGTGATGCAATAAAAAACACCCAGTGCTACTTTGGCTTGTTATCTACAAGAAAAAAATATCTAAACCATACAAATTTTATTTTGGAATGCTATCTACATAGTAAAACATTATTATATATTATAACATATATATAACAAAAAAAAATGTAATTAAAATATTAAAAAATAGATACATGATAAGTAGATAACAAGCCAAAGTAGCACCAAACTCCCATCTCCCAAACAGCCTAGGCCACTTGTGAGGATGTATCAACAAAAAAAGAAACAATGACAAGTTACAGGAGTTGTGTGATCTCCCCCAGGCAGAGATAGTATTTACATATATAAATACACCCATATACTTATGAAACAGCATGCAATTTGTAAAATGAGTAAAACAATAAAGACTTTGTGATCTACCTTTTTAAATGCATATTTTAAAATATTGCAAATTGTATCAACTTTGTGTTGATGTGTGGGGAGTCTATATTATTTTTTCTTGCTTTATTTCATCCTAAGAGAAAGAATAAAATATCATACTAAAACTATACAAAAGTTTTGAATTAAAACTTTCTTTTGCCATTATGAAACTGAAATCTGTACATAAAATAAAGTTCAATTACTTATCTCCTAACTCAGAATTTTGCAGAGATAAGTGTACACACGAGGGTAAGATAAACATACTTTTTTAATTTAGTCAGTATTAATGCTCTACTTTTTTTTTTACTTACAGCTATCTTAAAAGCTGGACGACTGTGCAAACTTTTAAGCTAGCTCTAACAGAGGGCGAATTGGGCCTCGTCCCAAAACTAAAGCACAGTTCTCCACATTATGTTTAGCAAACAGGTTCACTGATGTTTGCCCTTTGTTCACCCTTTGCTCTCTATTTATGTTGGCATTCTCATTTGTATACAATACTACACCTCACTAAACTAAAAAGGCTGGACACCCTTGTTTCTTCTACTACTATTTCTGATTACTCTTGTACTGTGCTCTCTTTCCCCTTTTCTTTTTCTTAATGGCGATCTTAATCTTTCTTCATTTTCTTCTTCACTCTCACTTTCTCCCATTTCCTGCTCTGTTCCATTTTTGTGACTTTCTGTCTTTTCTTGCTCTTGATTTTCCATTTCCACGTCATCCAATTCATTTCTGCTTCCGAATTGAACCGCATGTAGTATTATATTTTGTCCCTTTTTCTCTAGCCATGTTGGGTCCTTTTTGTATCAGGAAATTTGCTTCTTCTGACTCAGCCTCTTTATTCTTTCTACACCATACCTTTTCTTTCATTGAAAAGGACATAGTTATGGGGGCTTTGATTTTTCTGATCATTAATGCCAAAGGGCTCAGCTTTCTTCCTGCATGTGGAATGGCTCTATAACTGAGAAGCATTGTCGGTAAATATGCTTCTAGGCTTTCATTAAGTGATGAGAATGCGTATTCACTGTAAATATTTCAGCCTCTTCTTCAGAGGAGGTTGGCATTTTTTGTATTCTTTCTATTTTCTTTTCGTATTTGCATACATTCTGAAAATGGTCTCTCTTTTTACAATTTGAGCATACTTTTCCTAATGTGGGACATTTGTACTTGTCTCTCTCATGATTTTTTCCACAGTATCTACATTTAATTATAGACTTAGTCATGCTCATCTTGTATGCCTCAAATTCTTCTTTTGGTTGATTAAATTCCTTAATCAACTGTTGTAAAAATTCAACACTAGCCTCCAAACCCATGTTACAACTTTGTAAAGCTTCCAGTATTTTTCATTTGTGGTTCTGGTCTTGCAATTATCTTCAATTATTCTGAGAAGAAATAATTCATCTTCTATGGTCATTTCCAGAGTTCCCAACTTTTCAAACTCACAGTACATAACACATTCTTTTAATCTATGTAAGTACTGTATAATGGACTCATTTGGTGCTTGTCTTGTCTCTAAAATCTTGGTTCTTTCAGCAACAACCAATCTTTTCTTTGGTCTTATGTTCTTTTTTATAACTTTGACAATTTCTTCAAATGTCATTTTTTCTAATTCGCTCAGGTAACACATTGTTGAAAATTTCTTCACCACTTCACACCCAGCAGTAGAAATAAATAAATCTGTTATCTTGTTTTCTCCTCCTTCAGTCTTGGTATCTCTCAATTTTTTACTCTTGCAAATGCCACAAATGTTCTGATCCATGCTTCTATGTGTTCAGGATCTTTTAGCACATTCAAGGATCCTATCGTTGACGCCATTGTTATATTGTCTATTTCTCTCTGAGTAGTATCAATCATAGCACAGATCTCCACATTACGTTTAGCAAATGGGTTCGCTGAGGATTGCCCCTTTGTTCACCCTCTACTCTCTGTTTGTTGTCATTCTCATCTGCATATGAGACTACAGAAGAAATAACTTTGAATTTCATCAATTCACTCCATGGAACTTCAAAATCTCACTTTAACTCCAATTTGAGCTATAGGTCCAATTCTGACCAAAAAAAGGATTTGGGTCAAAAACAGAGTTCTTCAAATAAACTTTGCAGAACTTCAAAACCTCAAGTCACAAAACCCCTCATTTTAACTCCAATTCCTTGGCATTTTAAATAAAATTGATTTCCTTAATTCAAAGTTTTGGAAATATTTTAAACTGAATTTAAAACAAAAATTTTTAAATTCAAAGTTTTTGTCTTACTTTAAACTCAATATAAATTAAAAACTTTTAAAAACACTAATTATTTTTTTTTCAGTTATTTCAAAATTTGAATTTTTAACTGTTCCCTCCTCATCTGGACACAAATCCTAATGCTGGATGTTCAAGCACCAGATGAAGGACAGATTTTCAATCCCAGTCTCATCTTGATTCCAAAAAGGCATAATATGTCTATGGAGAACAAGCGTGGCCAGAGTTAGAAGGGTTTTCGGACAGACAGAATAAGCCATGTGTCATCCTCCAGTAATTTCCTGACTGACACTTTTTGTTAGGCATAAATATTTGTTATTATTAAAATACAGTGGCTTGCAAAAATCTACACTCCCTTTGAAAATTTATATATTTTGTATAATTTAACAGGGAACAACACATTTTTTCAATTCCAATGATTGTTAAATAATAAGCAGATCCATCACACTTTCCTTTGATATAAAAAATTACATTTTAAAAATTTCACACTGATTCTTAAAATCATATAACTTAGAAAAATGTCTTTGCAAAAGTGTACACCCCCCAGATATTATACCGTGTTATCACATAATTTATCATTGATGTATACAATCCAGAACAATCAAAAGTGACATATGCATTCTACCATAACAAACAAACTTGGCCAGTCTATTATTTTGCTATACAAAATCATTCACCACATGGTTTCTTGGTATGTTGGTCCTTGGACTGACTGTAAACACAAGGTGTCCAACTTGGGAAAGAAAATGGGCAAGCCTCTGTCTCAGGAACTTAAAAACCTTATTATTCAAAAATACAATGAAAATAATGGCTATAAAAAGATTGCAAAAACTGTAGAATTGCCTCTAAGCACTGTTAAAACTGTAGTTAAGAAGTGGTTAGTGCACAAAACCACAGCTACCCTACCAAGATCTGGGAGACTGAGCAAACTTACCAGAAGAGCAAAATCAAAACTGGTCCGAGAGGCAACCTCCAACCCTAGTGCAACATTGGAAGACTTGAAAGCTTCAGTTTCCAGACTGGGACAGATGTCCATACATCTACAATTTCCAGAGTATTGCACCGCTCTGGCCTGCAAAGGAGGGTAGATAGAAAAAAGCCCCTTCTGAAGCCTATACACAAGCAAGTTAGGCTAAACTTTGCCAAAAGTCACATCCATGACCATGTGATGAAAGATTTTGTGGTCAGATGAGACCAAAGTTGAGTTATTTGGAAAAAATACAAAACACTATGTTTGGCAGAAAAAAAGGCACTGCTCACCAACTTCATTACACTATCCACACTGTATAAAGCATGGCGGTGACTTGATCATACTTTGAGGCTTTTTTTTTTCACCTGTAGGGCCTGGAGAGCTGGTAACTATCCAAGGTATCATGGACAATGTCAAGTACCAAAAAATATTGGAGGCAAACCTGCTGAAGTCTGCTAGAGCTCTGCTCTTGGGTCACAATTTCAAGTTTCAACAAGATAATGACCCCAAGCATGTGTCAAAAAGCACTAAAGCTTGGTTTTCTAGCAAGAAAATCACAGTTTGGAGTGGCCCAGACAGTCTCCAGACCTCAATCCTATAGAAAATCTATGGTGAGATCTAAAGCTGGCTGTGCACCAATGTTCCCCATCCAATCTGACACAGCTCGAGAGGGTTCTACCATGAAGAATGGCAAAAACTGTCAGCAGACCACTGCAGTAAGCTCATGGAAGGCTACCTGAGGTGTCTGCAGGCTGTAATTGACGCAGCAGGATCATCCACAAAGTATTAGCTGAAGACATTCCAAAGGGGGTGCAGATTTTTGCAAAGACACTTTTCAAAATTATCTGTTTAAGAATCAGTTTTAAATTTTTCAAATGTATTTTGTGCATTAAAGAAAAGTGTGATAGATCTGCTTATTAAAACAAATTATTGGAGTTTAAAATATTAATTGTTCCTATCAAAATAAACAAAATACATTCAGTTTTGCACTGTATTATTTACAAAGATTTTTATAGTATCAGGACATTCAAACTTTGACTAAAGAAAAATACAAAATATGTACAAACCTGGCCTCTGTTTTGGATTATATTCCATATCTTCAGCTTGGGGTATTTGTAGGAGTAGATCCAACTCCTGTCTGGAATAAACAAAGAATTTTATTCAGAAAAAAAATTTTTTTTAATTTTTTAATTTCAGTGTTGCTACATTAAAATCACCAAAATAAAAAGACTTTTTTTAAAAAAAAATATCTCCTGATTACAAACAGAATGTGAATGGAGCAGTAAATTCATTTTAGCAATATAAATATTTGACACATCTCCAATTATCTGTAAGGCATGTGCAAGTTGACATCAGCTCAAAAGTGCTTTACAGATTTACATGATTAACTATTATAATCATCCTCACTCCCATCACCAAACAATAGCAGAAGCTTATTTATTACAGCACTCTTGTAATTCATTTTCATACATAACTCACAACAAACAGATATTAGCAATAAAGGAAATACAGGGTTTTCTAAATCTCAAAAGAGTCAATTTCAATATTTTATAACAACAGGATAAAAGAAAAACAACTCAAATTATATTTGCTATATAGAGAATAACTGTAAGTCATTGTATAAAGACAAATACAATTTAAGAAATCTAGATAAGTAGATTGTATCTACTTTATGTTGATGTGTGAATAGCATAATGGAAATCAGCACAGAAAGTGGAATTGGCAAGCCATGTTCAAATTCCAAGGAAGTCTTTTGCATTCACTTTTATGCAAATATCCATGGTGTTAGGGGATGTTACTTCCTGCTATAAAGGATAATAACTCAATATACAATCGAGTTATGTCCCTTGTCTGCAAGTGGGAATGCAGCACTTCTGAATCCAATATGATGATAACCTGACACGCACATGGAACTCATGGTTTAAAGCCAAATAATCCTTGCTGTTCTGTCAGTAAATGAATAAAAGTTATTTTATTATGTGTTAAAATATACTTGTCTTTTATTTTCATTTGTCTTTGTTCATCCCAACAACCTGGGATATAACACATGGAAAAGGCATAAATTTGTCTCTTCTCTCACAGCTATAGATTAAATAGCAGAGCAGACTGGACTTAGGTGGCAAACAGTCTAAGAGAGAGGAGACCGAATTCCAAATTATGCATAAGGCTACAAGAAACCACTCCACTATATTTCAATAATACATGGCAATTCACATATAATAAAGAAAAGGAATCTGTGGATAGCCATGATAACCTATGTCCTGAAGAGATAGGGCATAAAAAATAATTAAATAAACACTTTATATATTCATCTGAAAAGAAAAAAATGCTATCTTTTTAAAAGTTAAAATGTTTAATTTGAAGAAAATAATTTAAAAAGACCTTTTTTCACAAACAATATTTTAAAGTATTAACCTCATATACAACACAATGTAATAACTTAAAATTAAAGTAATAACTTTAACATTTGATATAAAATCTTTCACATTATACATCAATGAATATGAGAACCACATTTACAGCATTTTATTCAGTTTAGTTAAAGGAAAATAGTATATACAGTGTGCGATGGATAAACTTTTGTCTAAATTATGTAAAAATGTAAACAACATTGACATCTGATTTTAACAGATACATTTACCAAAATTACACAAAATATCTTGAAATACTAAAGAATACTTTCAGCAGCCACTCTCTTGACCTAGGGCAGCACTACTTCCTCAAGGCTCTTGATGTAGACCTCCATATTGAGTTTGAGGCCCAGTGTGAAAATGAATTGAGGCATAATGTCACCATCACTAGCAATCACTCTGAACACCATGATGTTGACTGGATATTTAGTTTTCCTTACTCTGAGTACATCTTTTGAGGACACTGCAAGCCAACAGTTGTTCTGTGTGTTCACCATCTTATTCTGGCAGAAATTTTTCTTATCTGAGAAAAACCAAAGCCTGTTTGGTTTGAGGGGATGCTTAAGTTCAAAAGCTTCGTAGTGTGATCTTTCCTTTTGTCCTTCATGGATTGAGATAAAAATTGGCCCCTTCTCATCTCATATGAGAAATACCAAATGTCTTCCTGCACTATCTGCCTGATAAGAAACTCAGATATTCCTGGGTCCCTGGCTATGGACCTGATTGATTTGGAGGGATCATTGTCAATCATGGCCTGGATTTCACTAACAAATTCAGGAGTTCTTTTCTTATCAGAACATTCAGTGAGTTTTCAGAGCTGCTATACCTTCGTAATCACCATTAGACTCATCCAACTTTTTCCGAATCCTCTGCACTGTCCTCAGATTGACACACAAACACTGAAATGTTTGCATTGAAGCTTCTGGTGCAAATGCCAAGCAGTACAGCATACCGCTTCCAAATTTCTGGTGGAGTGAAAAGTGTCTTGGTGCTCTTTTTCTCACTGATCCTACTATATGTGCAGTTGACAAAATCAAAAACAAAATGCACACGCACAAAATTAAAAGTATAAAATGGTGAAAATTTACCAGTTGCACCCTGTATATACTAAGAATAAATACATTTGTTTCTTACCATTCAATGTAACTAGAGTTTCATGCATGTAATAATTGTCAAGCACATATGCATGAAACAGAGAGTTGCACTGAACAATGTTTGATCAGTAGGTCCTATATGGCCAAGAGGTCAAGGCACATCAGATCTAATGATGGTTTCTCCTAAGGGATGCAGGTTCGAATCCTGCCGGAAGGCATGTATTTGCTAACAAGATTTCTCAAATATTCAGGCTGGTAGATGTAAATAAATAAATAAATATACTGTTTAATAATAAAAACAGAGCATCTACTCAAATATGAGTATCCATTAAAAATAACATTTAAGCAAATAAATTAAAAATGTCGGATTTAATCTATTTCCTATATATATATATATATATATATATATATATATACACACATATATATATATATATATATATATATATATATATATATATACACACACACACTGTGCAAAAAAAGTAACTAAAGTCAAATTTTGGGGGAAAAAATCTTGCTTTTTCTTAAAATTTTAAAACATACAGTTTTATAAAAATTTGTGTATAAGTAAGGGAAATGATACATTGTCTGTAATTTTACAAAAAAATTCTTAACAAACCTAAAGCATGTTATTTTTTGTTTTTAAGGGAAATATTTACTGTGCAAAAACAGTGACTCACTTTTTATACTGTATTAATTATCTACAAAGTTAATATTTTCTTAAAAAATAAAATTTAGAAAAAATTAAAACACAAAGGAAAATTTCATTAGTAATTTATGCTTCACCCTTTGTTTTTCAGAAATTTCTGGACTCAATCCAGTATACACTTCATGAGATTTTTGCAGATGTCATCTTCTAGCAAACTGTTCCAATCCACAATAAAACTTTCAAAGTTTCTTTGTTTTGAATGATTTTCTTCAAAAGTCTCAATTTTATTATGCTCCATAAATTCTCGATTGAGTTTAGGTCAGGAGACTGTGATGGCCATACCATAACATTAACATTTTTTTCAGGCCAGTTCTCTCATCAATCTTGTTTTTTCTACCTTGACAAATGTTTCAGTGGAATTGAATCTTCTCAAAACCCTCGAGACAGTTGATTGAGAAGTGTTGATGCTATTTGCAATTTCTCAAGTCAATTTACCAGCTTTTGATAGGGCAACTATTGCTACTTTAACAGATTGTGTTGTGTGCTTATAGCTTTTCATAACAAATCACTAATTAATTATATTTTTGGTTTCTTTTATATACTTTAAAATAATTCTAGAACTTTCTACAATTCTGGAATAAAATTACAAGATGCTTTAAAATAATGACATTTTTTAATGAGTCATGATTTTTGCACAATAGAAAACTTGTTAAATACTCAAAAATGGTAATTTTTTTTTTCAAAAAAAAAAAAAAAATAAATAAAATAAAATATATTTGTTCTGAATTATTTTTTAATTTTACTAATAATATGTATATTTTTAATTGAAAAAATAAAAACTTTTATTTGTAATTAAATTTAAAAATAATTGAAAAAAATTATTGCTGAGTTACTTTTTTTTGCACAGTATAGTATATGTCAAAAATTTAGGAAGGAAACACCCATCAATACTGAAAAGAGCATAACAGAAACCTATTTTCTTGAAAAACTGTATTAAGAGAAAAATTTCAATAGTAGAACTGGCTGCTTGACCAATTAATACTAAATGTTTCCTTATTAGGAAACAGCTAAATATTACCATATATATAATTAATACAAATATAAAGTTTGTCACTTAGCTGATTGGTGTTACATTCAGCATCCCAACTATAACAGAATCACTCTGTACATTCGTCCAGAGATATCACCAATTAACTGTTTATTTTCTTGTTTTTCTTTTATATATTTATATATGTGTATGTGTGTGTGTGTGTGTGTTCGCATGTAAAAGGGTAGAAAAATTTTCAGTTTGACCAAAGACATTTCCCTACCCAAAACGTACAGATTTTGGAAAGAGTGTCAAGGCCATGAATTATTTGAGCTATACATTTGAATAATAGTAAACAGGAGTGTACGCAAGATATTATTTTCTGAGGAATTTTAAGCAGCTGTGTTCATATATGCTACATTAAACTGGGAAAAATAAATCAACTTACCGAATCTGTGTCTGTAGTTTGATCCGACAGAGATGACCCCTGACAAGAGACTGAAATAGGAAAAACAAGGAAGAAATTGTTAAGAAATAAACTGTCAAAATGAGTAATGCACTTAAACAATGTCAGATTTTATTATGCAAGTCAATATTTTCACAATAGAAGTGATATTAACCAACAAATATTGGTAAAAGTTTCAGGCTAACTTTTTCACACAAGTATCTTTAATAGTATCTCTATTTTTTGTTTACAATGGAGTGTTAAAAAGTTCACAATTTGACTAATTCCCAAAATTTGACCAAATATCAGAATTTTTTGAAAAGGATTCTTGTTTAAATCAGTGCCCCAACATAAACTAATAAAGAGAAAAATGCAAAGTTCTAGATAGCTAAAGATTACAACATTCAACATCCTCCATAGGAAAGACAAAAAACATCTCAATTGGAATGTTATGATAAAAGATGAAGGAACTAGTCTCCAGAAACATGTGGAATAATATCAGCAATTAATTTGGAGTCAGAAACAGATTCTTTATTTTCATGTGTACACCTTTTAGATTGTAGATACAAATTTATTAGAAAATAAAATTTTTACCAATATTTCCTCTTTCTTAGATTTGAACTACAAAATATCATTAATGTCTCTGTCTTTGGAGATAGTTTGGCTCACTTGTGTGTCTGTCCATGGACAGAGATGCAATTGAGAAAAAAAATACTGAGAGGTTCCCAGTGGCTGTATCCACCTCATTGCACTAGAGACGGTAAATCCATTGTAATACTGATGGTTGCAGGGACTAGGCAAATTTAGACCCTGGTCCATTGTACGCGTTCAGGTTGCCCACATTAAACCCGACGTTGTGTCACATCACATCTCAGTGAGGAGACAGGGTAAATATCATATATCATTAATGAAAAATAACATGTATACAGGGTTTTCCTAACAACACTTCCTAATAGCCACTCCTCAATCTTTTTGAATTAATGCACATGTTCCCCAGGGTTTTATCCTTGGACCTACATTGTTCCTAATTTTTATAAATGACCTTCCTGATGTCATCAACTCTCAGTATCTATGGTGATGACACAACTACTTACTCCTGTCTTAATAACAAGTCTGTTCAGTTCAATAAGGTCAAATTAGCAGCTAATCTCAAAAATGACTTACAATCTGTCGTTAAATGGGTCAAGGAGTGGCTTGTCAATTTTTATGCTCTCTTTTAATCATCTGAGAGAAATGTTTTTTACCAACCATCAGTATGGCTGATGATAACCTCCAGGTTAAGTCTACATCAAGGAAAATGGATTCACTGTGTTGTGCTAGACATTTTTACTCACCAGAAGCTATCTTACATATTTATAAGTCTACCATTCATCTTTGATTTGAATATTGCTGTCACATTTAGTCTGGTGCTCCCACTATATAGAGTTTCTTGATAAAATCCAAAGAAAAATCAGCAATGTTATTGGTCCTGACCTGGCATCTTGGCTTCAGTCACTTTCCCACAGCCATAATGCAGCTTACCTGTGCCTTTCATGGTAATTGTTCTGATGAACTTTCCCCTATGGCAGTGTCTTTAAAACTTATATTTTTTTTTTAACGCAACCCACAGCAGAAACCACATTTTGTATTGCCACCCATTATATCTACATGTAATAAATTAAAGACAAACTCTGTTCACTAGGTTCATTTATTTAGCATCAACAATTTATATGTATATTTCTTATGACCCACGCATCTATTTGTATGAATATAAAAGTATTATTTTTAGAAAAAAATTTTAAAGAAAATCCATCACTTAGTCTGCAATGAGTTTGACAAACAAGATACATAAACTCAATGAGAAAAGATTTTAAAAAAATAAAATATAATACAAGCTTACCTCAGTGAAAAATTAGCGATGATTTAGGACTGCCATGCAACATTTAGAGTTGTTTATATTCTGCTCTCACTTGAGTATTTTTTTTTGTCTTTCTTTCTTTTTTTGGTATGACTCATTTTATTTATCTTGTAACCCATGGAAGAGTTGGGACCCGTTTGAAAAACCCTGCTCTATGGTACCTAGACTTTACGAATTTAAGCGCAGTACTTGATTGGCAACAAGGTCACATCATTTTATAGTTGAAATGGCGAGAGATGTAACCATAAGTTCTATGCTTACAGTTTCTCACTTCTCACTTGTGGAACTCTTCTGGTCTAAAAATTTAAATGCAATGTTAATTGTTATCTTCTAGCTTCTTAATTCTTTTTTTTTTTATCATCATCTCTCCTTAATAGTATATTTTTCTAATATTCTCTAACACTTATTAACCCCTTGTATCTTAGTGGCCTTATTGTCTAGCGTGATTAAAAAAAAAATCATACTTTAGCCCAGCTTAATTGTAAACTTTTTAAGAATCTATTCTGCAGCCAGATATTATGATGCTACAACATAACTGGCTCCTGTAAGAGACAAAGGTTGAAAAGTAGGGATAAAAGCCAAATATATATGATGGCTGCCGAAGATCATTGAAATAGAAAAATAGATTTTTAATATCTGAAAATTAAGAAATCATCATACGATCTACTCTTCATTCTTACATTTTCTGCATGAAACTTAACAGAAATATTTCATCACTTCCTCTGTTTTGTTATATTAAAGAACAGAAGTTCTAGTTTTGTTAGAATCTACTGAACTTTTTCAAGTAATTATGTTGCCGTGTGTATCCACAGTTTAAATGCAGTCACTAATGTCACCGACAAGCTAAAAACTGCACATTGCCTCAATACTCCTTCCATGAAAGTTTCGCACATGAATAGATTGTATATACGAGTTCAACTTGAGGCTGGGAGTGAGCTTGGGTCCCAATAGACGTTCAAGGTAAAGTGCCTCCTTGAAAGAATCCATCATGATAGGTGAAAGTTCTGGGTCTTTGTTCTTAAGACTATCTTCTGATCATTTGTTACCTTTTTTATCTAAAGAAGATCAACCTAACAGGAATTGGCAACCCAATACATTTATAAATGACTAGCAGCATGGCCCGGTGTTGCCTGTGCTTGATTCAAAAATCGTACAACTCATATAGCAATCGCTATCACGTGACTTGAAATATTTTTGCCCTTCCTTGCCTTTAAAGGAGTACCCTTTGCCATGCTAATATTGCTACATGGCTTACTTCTTGCCTATCTCACACTGTGAATTTTTTCTAAGCTCTATACTAAACATTAAATGTTACGAAAAAAGAACTAAACAAAATAAACACAAAATGATCAGCTTTAAAAAAAGGACTCATAACTGGAAAAACCAAATGAAAAAAGAATGTTAACAACAAATAATTTTCACACCCAACCCAGTTCTGCGGAATCAGAATCAACGCTGAGTTTAAGCAAGCGAATGAGCCAATTGGAGTAAAGTGCCATGCAGATTTAAATTTTTCCCATTTGTGATGAATGCAGCTATCAATTTTTTTGCATGCTAGTATGCTAGTTAACATTCATGTCAATCAGCTGTTGGCTCTCACTGACCAGTACAAAATGGCCGCAAACTACATGAAAACTGCCGTAGAAGCATGAAAAAAATCAATTATTTCCACTATCGATGGGAGTTGGGAAATGCAAAGTCAGTCTTGGCATTCCCGCTAACTTGGAGCATGTGCATGTACATTTTGGTACAAAGCCGTCGAAAATTGCGGCCGTGCATTCATTACACACACACACACACATCCTGCCTTTTATAGAGAGATACATTATCATATTTGATGTCATTCCGATGGAAGCATTATAACATCAATATTTAAATGTTTTCATGTTACAATGTTTTTGATATAGGACAGATTTATTTATTTGAAGTCAATAATTAGTATTTTTATGTAGCATAGATAAATATTACATCTGTCAATGAATTCAATAGATTTATCTTACCCTGACAAGCAGTATATCCACAAAACTTAAAAATCAGAAGTTTTTGAACTTTTATTTGTTAACTATAGTTTCTCTATTTTTTAATATTGAGCACTTTCTTTACAAAAATCTGCCTACCTTTAAACGCATTAAACTTTTTTTAACATTCTGGTTTTGTCAGGCATTAACAATGTATATTATTATTTTATTATTAGCATCAATATTCTAAATCTTGGGAACTGAGAAGAAGCAGATATAAACTAACTGAACAATACCTGTAAGTAATGTATAAAACTTCTCAAAAAAAAAAAAAAAAAATTATATATGTGTGTGTAAACCCGAAGGTAACAAAACCAATATCAAATGGGCTCTGACAACCAATTGATAATAGCAAGTAAGGCCATATGTTTAAAATGGGTACTTTAATCCTAAATTCATAAATATCCATTAATAAAAAACACAAAGTAGCTTTAAAAAAAAATAAAATAAAAAGTATATATAGTTTATTTCTTGTAACTACCTACTCTTGTCATGCCTTCACAATTAATGAAAAAAACAAAAAACTTAAAAGGTAAAAGCTCAGCAAATTGTTGACTCACCTGAATTTTAATGGCTGCATCCTCTCTTTTTCTTTCAAATGCTCGTTCTTCACGGGCTGCTTTTGTTTGTTCTAGAAACTGATTCTTTTTCGTGTGATCAAGTGAGCTGAACATCTGACAAAGAAATATCAACCATACAAATATATATTTTATATATATATATATATATATATATATATATATATATATATATATATATATAAAAAAAGAGAGAGAGATACATATAAAGAGTGGTGAAAAGTTCATTCTGACCCACTTCCAAAAATATAAACAAATCAGTAAGCACCAAATGTTTTTTTAAATAAAGTGGCTTCGGCTTCTCTAGGTCAACTGCTGATATACTAACTAATGATACTGCTGAAAGAGTCTATCAAGCTTTAGATAAGACAGGTGAAGCTTAGATTATTACTTTGGACATCTCAAAAAAGTTTGACAGGGTTTGGCATGCCACACTTCTTCATAAGTTGAAAGGTTATGATATTTCCTGATGAATTTTTGAACCAATTCTGTCTTATCAAATCACAAAATGAAAGTTATTCTGAAGAGCCACTCTTCTCCATCTTTTTGTACTAATGCAGGTGTCCCCCAGGGCTTTATCCACAAACCTACTTTGTTTTTAATTTTCATCAATGACCTTCCTGATGACATCAGTTTTCCTGATATCTCTGCTGATGACACAACCATTTACTCCTGTCTGGACAGTAAGTCTGATCAGTTTGACAAGGTCAAATTGGAAACTGATTTCAAAAATGACCTTCAGTCTGTAATTTATTGAGGCAAAGAATACCTTGTTAATTTTAATGCTCCAAAATGAAATCTCAGCTTCAGTCATTTTCCCACTGCCATTTCCCTGTATTTTTTCTATAAATACTTTCATGGTAATTGTTCAGATGAACTCTTCACTATGGTACCTAGACTTCATGAATTTAAGCAGAGTAGCATATTGGCAGCAAGGTCTCGTCAATTCACAATTGAATTGGCTAGATGTAACCATAAATTCTATGCAAACAGTTTTTATCGGCCTTATAACTTGTGAAACTTTTCTGGTTTCATGCTTTCCAGCCATCTTTGATCTTCAAAAATTTAAATGCAATGTCAATCATTATTTAGTCTTCTTGATTACTCTTCTATTGTTCTTGCTCCTTAATAATGTGTTAGAAACTACTCAAAAGAGTAATTTACACAAGGTATTTACTCTGTCTCCCCACTGAGATGAGATGTGACAAGGTCTTTTTTAAGGTGGGGACCCAAGCATGAACACCCGGGCAAGGAACAAAAATTGCCCACAGCCCCTGCAACCGTCAGTTGCACTGGTCTCGGTGCAAGCACCGATCCCTCTCTCTAGTGCCATGTGAAGGTGCAGCCTTGGGCAGCTGTTCCCCAGGGCCGGCACCTCTCAGTATAATTTTCATCCATTGCAACTCTGTCCTTTGATGGAGTCGCCCCTGAATACACTCTGCCGAAAAACAGATGCAACCGAGAGATAAGCAATGCATTAGGAACTACTCAAGAGAGTAAATTACACACTAAAAGCTCAATATCTGTATCATATATTATATACTTTTAGGCAATATCATGCTTCAGGTTTAACTAATTTGTATATCGATTTTAAAAAAGTTCATTTCAATAATTGTCCTTCATTACTGTTCTTTTATTCAAGGATGGTTTTGATTTTCATATCAAAAATAGTTGTTTAGGAATATTGTCTTATATAGTGCAGAAAAGTGTTTGAAATTTGCATTTTACTTGGTCTTCAACAAGTTGGCATCTATTTGCAAAACTTTCCTTAACTATAACAACCCAATTTATAAATGAAATGTTCATTTAAAATTTTTCTTTCAAAGATATCAAGTAGTGAATATATCTTACTTTACAAAGTGATAGCAAGCAGGCAAAAGCCTGCTAGTTATTATATATATATATATATATATATATATATATATATATATATATATATATATATATTTTAAAAACTAGAAACCACTGATTTTAATATTAAAAGTCTCTAAGAGCCCTTTTGCCAACATCTCAATCGCTATTATTCATTAACGAAATGAATCCAACGATTGAATAATGATGAGATGTTGAAGAGCAACTTTTAATCTAGAGACTTAATATTAAAATCAGTGGTTTCTAGTTTTAAAACTATTTATAAATTTTGTACCTCCAAACATTTGTATATATATATATATATACGCATGCATGCATTGTCTGAATTTAAGCAAATCATATAAACTTCAATAATTCAAATTTGGTTTGAAAAAATTGCTAAATTTTAGACAATCAATGTAGATCTCAAACAAAATAATCAAATTTTACTTCACTAAAATGGTAATAAAATCAGAAAAAATTTATCAACACCTATAATGGAACAAATAACCACATGTGATAAGGCTTTGAATCTTTTACATTTTTATATAGTTACTCTTCTTCTCAATAACAGCCAGTAATCCATTATCCATTGATTTTAATTTTTTTTTATTTCATCAGGTTCAATTTCCGACATGGTAGTTTTAATTGCTTCCCATAGGTCTGCTTTGCTGTTATATTGTTTGCCACCTTCATATAATTTCATCTTCACAACTGACCATAGATTTTCAATTAGATTCAGATCAAGACTTGATGGTGGCCATTCCATTATCTTCTCTCCTTTTATGCTCAAAGATTTCATGGGTAAGCTTATATACATGAGAAGGAATATGTCAAAAAGAAAAAATAGTTTTTTTTATAAGCTATAATGTATATTGTACAGTACATTGACTGATGGATTGAGCAGCACCAGTGTTGAACTGGGATGTGATTTGATACAATTTTCCTTCTTGATTGGGTGATTACAAAACTTTTCTGTTACTGATAGTTCCATTCTTGCATCACCTGTGGGCATTCACAGCTTTCATATGCTACTGGTATTTGTCTAGATTTGAATACATTTCTAGTATACCCTTGCTACTGTTGCCTGGGAATAATTTCAAACACTTAATACCTTAGAGATAGAATGTCCCATCCTTTGATACGTCACTATTACTAATATTTCTTGCACTCTCTCAAAATGGATTGATTTCTTTTATAAATTACCTTACACTGGCATGCAAAACTTTTGGGCCACTTTGGTAAATTAATTTTGTTTATTTTACCCCAAAATCAAGAATTATTAGCAATATGCTTTTCTTAGTACATTTTATGATCTTTGAGAGGCAGAGAACAATTTACTGCATTTTTGTTAATGCTCTATAGTAGATGATAGAGCATCCTAAGTATAGTCATACTGAAAAAAGGTCATGCAAAAATACTGGGTCACCAGTGAAAATTTCACCTTACAGCTCTTTACTTAAGTTGAAAAAAATTTTTTTTTTTTTCAAAAAATGATCTTTACTACAACAGAAAGTACAAAATGTCAACATATCGAGTTAACCAATTTGTGTTGTTGCATTTGGCACAAATAATTGTCTAAATTCAATGAGACATTGAATGGAATAAGATTCGGATTTTCTCATTGGTAATTTTTTCCCCATTCTTCCTGGCAATAATCCTAAAGTTCTTGGTGATTGGGTGTTTTCTCTTGGAGAACTTATTTCTTCAGTTCCCACCAAAATGGTTTAATTATATTGCAATCAGGACTTATTGCTGGCCAGTTTTCTAGAAGTTGAACATCATCATCCACAAGAAACCTTTCTGTTGCACATGATATGTGGCAAAGTTCACTGTCATGCAAAAAAGTTTCTCGGTCTTTCTAGTCTGGTAGAAGATTCAACTAATATAGTTTTTGTTGTTTAGGTTTCCATCAACTTTTACCAATTTTCTTCTATCATCACTTTTGATGCAACCCCAAACCATTACTTGTCCACCACCAAATTTTACCATCCTTGTGCCATATCTTACATTGTTTCTTTCTCTCACTGGTATCCTTACATATTCTCTTGCATTAGAATTTAACTATTTTTTTGTTTTTTTTTTGCTGCAATACACCCATTCAATTTGTTTTGTTTTTTTCATAATACTCTGTATACTGCATCAGCTGAAACATCACTATTAAAACTGCATTTACTCATCAATTGTTTGCCTTTTAATTTTGAATTACCTACTGAGATTCTCACAAGCTTTCTTGTCTAACTTTTGTGGTCTTCCCATTTTCATTGCACTTAAAATACTTCCAGTAGTAGCAAACATCTTTCTTTTTTTTTAAACAGTTTCTGGAAATTCCCAGTTGCCAAGCTATCTCTCATTGAGTCAACTTCCCCTTCAAAGTCATAACCTTCATTTTTGTTTCAGCAAAAATTTTAAGCCTTGATGTTCAACTGCAATGACTTGCTAACTTACACTCATGCTATTAAAATGGAACAATTCCTAGTTAGAAATCTACATATTATCATGACTGTATTATCTTAGATCTTTTCACTGACCAAATATCTTCAGTTTCAAGCTGCTTGAAGCAGTCAATCTTCTGTTACAGAACACCCTGTGAAAACACAACTTATTTTCCAATCCTCATGTTTCATAGACACTACTGCTAAAAGCATGCTGCTAAATAATCTTAACAAAATAAAGATGTATTATCATTTTATGTAGTTGACCCAAAACTTTTGCACATGTATTTAAACTTAAATAGGTTAAGTATACTATCCATTGATCTATTACTAATTTTATTCTAAGCAAAAAACTTTTTCTTTGCCACTGAATGGTAATAAATAAGAACCAAGCTTTAAATATACTTACCACACTCAATCATGAAACTTCTTTATTATTTTTAAAGAGTTAAAGTATTAAGGTAAACAATGTTATACATAGAGCAGCAAGATAGAAAAAGAACACTATTTTTCTCAAAGAATAATGTCCTTCACAAAGTTTTGAAAAGTAATGTTATTTTCATCATGTGGTTATTTCTATGATTCTTTATCAGTAAACCAGAAAAAAGGTGGTTATCTTTTTCTCTTATGTATCCTTCAGAGCATGGGTAATTAGGGCACTCCATAACTTCCTATACTTTGTAGCTTGAAGTAATGTTGTTCTCCTTGCTATCCATTCCAGTCCCTGTTCTGCCAACCATTTAAACAAGCTTAAGTAGGTTACACACGCTTTCCCTCTGTCTGTCTTGCCTTCAATGTCCTGTGAGTGCCAAATTCTCCAAGATCATGTGTGCAAGAAATTTTAAAATATCTGATTGTAAAGTATCCTTTTAATTTATATTTTCGGCATTCTTCTAGAGAACATCTGTTGCAAATTTCCTTTTCACCTGCAAGGTAATTTTTCAGTATTCACTGCCATAGGAGGATTGATATTATTACCTATATTCAACACTATTTTCTTTGTTTGTAATTAAATTTTCCTGTTTATTAATACTTTGCTTAGCTTTTGGAAGGAATCTTCAACTATTCCAATATGCCTTCAGAATTTCGTTGAAATACTAACTAGAGGAAACATGTGCACAAGATTAAAATTAAATTTAAAAAAACTAAATCAGTCTGGAAGGAGAGATTTCGTCAAACTCAAACACTAATGAATAAAAAAAGAATGACAATAAAATTAATTAAAAAAGTTAAAGACTTAAAAATAAAGAATTACAATTTAAAAACTTTAAAAAAAATCCTTTAACAAGTCAAATATGTAGTACATTTTTCACGTTATGCCTGGAAATAACAGAAAATTAGAACAGTTCTTTCAAAAAGAAGGTAAATCGAATAAGTGAAACTGAAACAGGTTTCTCTAGTTAATTTGCCCGGGGGTTGGAATTTAAAATTAAAACAAAATAATTTGCTATCTTTTTTTTTTAAATTTAGATTTATTAATTATGCAACGATAAGGGGGGAAAAATAATACCAAAGCTCTGTATTTGAAAAAATAAATTAAAAAATGATCTTTGAGTTTGACTTGCTCCGCTCCTAGAAATAATATTGTAAAAATGTAAAATAAATAAAATAAAAAAAAAAAAAGTCGTTTTTAAAAAAGAATTAAGAATATATTCTAAATAAGGTAGAAAAGAAAACAAATTTGAAATATGTTATTTTGAACATTTATCTCTACAAGAGAAAAATTTAAAAAAAAAAATATTACCACCAGTTTAGCGTTATTTTATTTATAGAATCAATTAGATTTAGAATGGCAAAAAAAATGTTACTAAATGTCAGACAGTGGCTCGCTAAGCTTTAGCAAAATAAAATAAACAAACATAAAAAGAAATAAACAAACATAAAACTGAGATGGATTTTTAATCACAACAAAGATACAGACGAGTGGTGCTGAAAAGTTCTCAACCCTACCAAAGAAGTCCTTCTCAAAACAAAACAATTCCGAGGTTTGGTCATTATTTTAGTCGAATTTAGGGAAGTGGGACCAGCCGATAACTTTTCAGCACACCCTCTGTAAGTAGGGTGTGTACATCCCCAAAAATAGAACTAGGTTTTTTAGTAAAAAAATCTTTCCACCACTAAAAAGTGGATGCCAAAATTAACAAGAAAAGAAATTAATTTAATAATAAATTGATTTTCTTACTTTTAGTAAAGTTTTATGCTAGCTAATTATATTTCCTTTTCCAATTAGCAAATTACAAATAATGCCAAAACAAAAACAAATGATAAAATCAATGCTTCGTACTCAAGCTTCATACAAATTAGGTAAGTAAACAATAAATTGGAAAATTCACTGATAAACCAAATGCTGATAAAAAAGCAATAATAATAATAATAAGTATCATAAACAACGAGGGTACCAAATCAAAGAAAAACTTATTGGCCCATTTTTTTTTTTTTGCACTATGGATGTCCGACAAAGAAATAACAAGACCAGTTAAAATCAAATCTAAGCAATCACCACGCGCTTGTCATCGCGTGGGTGGAAACGTATTAGAATTGGTAATATGGTCTTAATCTCACGTGTAAATTTCACTAATAACTAAAAGGCTTTGCTTAACGGATACCCGTATTTTCAGCTTAGCAGCTCACCCGTACCGAGAAATCTGAGTCAATTTTCTTATTTTTGGCGCTTATCAGGAGTCATATTAAAATGTTATTTACGGAAACCAGTCAGATATCGTTAATGCGATTTTAAATAGTTTTAAAATATTGAAGAGATGTATATGTTCTGTTGTTGCGTTTAAAAAGTAGGTAAATGTTTATAGTTAAGATTTTTCTTTTTAATATCAAAACAAAGAATTCAAATTTCGAAGGCAAAAGGAATTTAAGACAATTGAATAATGTTTTATGTTCTCTTGTGTACACAATGTTAAACAAAAACATTTTAATACACAAAAAAATAGTCACCCCGCGATTTGAAAATAAAAAAAAGCGAGAGAGTGTATTTTCACATTACATGCAATAGAAGCTAATACCTTTGTGTCAA